GGTATTTACAGTGTTTTTTGGCCAGCACCTGGCAAAAACACTGGTATTTACGGAGGTTTCACCATGTAGCAAAATGTGGTTTCTTGATCCGAAAAGAACAAAAATACTGTAAATTACAATGTTTTGAGTCTGCTCTTAGGGTGCGTGGGAGGTGTGGAGGGGGGGGGGTACTAAAATGACTAGCAATCTCCTGAAGAATCAGGTAACGGGGCTGGCCGCCCTCCCCTTTACTTCGTAAAGTAGAACTCAAGGTAGCCCCTCTGGAGCTACCTTTCGTGATATATATATATATGTATCTTTGGATATATGATGGATATGTAACGGATATGAAGTGGATGTATATATATATATAGATATTTGTTTATGGTGGATATCAGTATACTGGGTATATAAACCAGCTTATATATACCTTGGCGAGTACATAGCATGGATATATAATGTAGAATTGATATAGAATGGACATATATATATATAGATATTCACCAATATATTTGATTTTTGGTGTTTATGGTTGATATATTGATATAGCTGATAAAATTGATAGATCAATAAATAATGAATATAATCTATGATACAATGCATATATATATATATACACCAACTAACATAACATTTGGGGCCACAACAGTGTAGAGATGTGATGGACGTGTACAGAAAACGAAAGATTTAATCATGTATTTCTTGGGTGCGGATTTTGTGATCAAAACACACCTATCTACTAAGGGTGACCATATCATTCAGGTTTCCGTGAGTCTTTCAAATGTGTTCAAATTGTGTTTCTGCATCCATGAATCAACTCTTTGCTTTCTCAACAGTTCACCTCAATTCATTGATCCATCTATCCTCCATCACAATTTCTGTGTCAAAAAACTAGGCTCCTTTTTTGCCATTACCAAACTGCACTCAGTATGCAATCTAAATTGCTATGTTCGCCTCTGCTCATTTTGGAAGAATCTCAGGCTTTGTGCACACCACAGTGTTTCTTTCCCCCATGTTCACGTCCATACCCACCACGGTGGTTGACGAATATGCATGGGAGTTTGTCCCAAACTTGGAGATTTACAAACAATTTGTATGGCATTTTGTTTGGTGAACATCATGACCAATGAACAACCATCAGAATTGCATTTTTTCTTGTCGGGGTATAAATGTACAACTAAAATTAACCATGAAAGACTTGGGGCACCCTCTGGTAACTCCACATAGCTCTTCTAAATCAGCCTTAGATTGTTCAATCCATAAATATCATAAATCATGTATCAATTTCCATAGCTATCTTAAAACTGACTTACCAGAGAGTATCCTTCCACCATTTTCCCCAAAAATCTGCGAACCTCTTCCCATTGGCCACAGATGCCACAGGCACTGATGGCCGACGAGTAGGAGAAGACGTCCGCTTGCAGGCGATCCCTGACGCTGCGTGCAGGCGATCACGTTGATGGCGGGTTGATGGCGGTGAACTTCTCATCGTTGGGAAACCAGAGATATCCATTATATGTTAATAAAATAATGTTAATGGATATTTAATATCACTAATTAGTATAAATATCACCATATGTTAATATATATATAATAGTAATATTAATATATATATATACATATCACTATATTATATAATATTATAAAGTTAAATATCCATTGAACACATATATATATATATATCCATTTAAAATAATATCACTATATGTTAATGGATATTTAACCGATATTTAACTATATGTTTAATGGAAAGTAACACATATTTTCCATGGTTATATGATGGTTATCTCCATTTATCCAGATTGATCATTGACAGTCCCAATGTAAATGTCCCTATTCCTATGGTATCCCATGTACTAAAACGGTTGATGTATCCATGTTATGAGAATGTCATTCTCAGGGGATTTTTCGAAAAAAACTGGTGGTTAAGTCACCATTTTTTCCCCTGCTATGTTTCCACAAGATCCGACAAACAATCACCTTTTTAGGTCTCATGAAACCCATGTGTAGTAAAATTCACCCTAAAAAGGCACACGAACATGTTTTCCCTATATGATCTCATTCTACCACTACATTTCCATTTTAAATCCCCGTGGATGGGGGTAGATTGTCGAATGATGAGATGATGATACAATGGGATACGATGGGATATACAAGCAACTTACCATTTCAATATGGGCTATGACACCTTCGCGTAATTTGACAATGGAAAATCACTATAAAAAACAGTCGGTAAATCATCTAAGTGAATGGGTGATTTTCCATAGCTATCTGGGTAAATTATAATTTCACTAACCTGAATCTTGTGGCCATGGCTGGGGATGATTTCCCTAAAAACAAACAATGATTTCGGGGCTCGGTAAGCCATCATTGAAATCGTCCCAAGAGATCCCCTTGGGAGGTTTCAAGTCATGGGCAATTCCACTGGCCCAAACTTCCATAAGAAAAACATAGAAAAACCATCCATGAGTTGATCCATGTTGGGGATTTACAGTACCCATTTATGATCATTTATCATGATTACTGTAATCAATCTATGGTTACTTATGGAAACAATTATCCATTTATGGAAACATCTATGATGAATTTAGCCATTTATGGAAACCCTCAAATGATGCTTAATTTATGATGCTTTCCTCAGAACAATCTCAAATCGGTACAGAAGTTCATACAATTCCGCAGGATTCCGCAGCCCCATTTTGATGTGGGAAGTGACCATTTTGACCACCATTTTCTGCAATGTCCACCCCAGCGCTGCACAACAAGCCATATCTCAAGCATTTTCATCCATCCATCAATTGAATATATTTGAGTCATCTCCGAGGTCTCTTGGATGGCGATGCCTGCGGTAAAGTCGGGTCGGGGGACACATTCATCGACACATTGAAAGCACAGAGATCTGGAAGCGGCCACTTTATCAAAGACGAGCAACCCATCACAAAATTCTTCCCAATTTTACGCACGGAGTGCGGAATGGTCAAACTCGTCAAGGAGCTGCAGTTGTGAAATGCAGAATCTCCAATCTTAGTCACAGACTCATGGTCAAACTCGTCAAAGAGCTGCAGTTGTGAAATGCAGAATCTCCAATCTTAGTCACAGGCTCCGGGATGGTCAAACTCGTCAAAGAGCTGCAGCCAGCAAAAGCATAAGTTCCAATCTGAGTCACAGACTCCGGGATGGTCAAACTCGTCAAGGAGCTGCAGCCAGAAAAAGCTCTGTGTCCAATCTGAGTCACAGACGCCGGGATGGTCAAACTCGTCAACGAGGTGCAGTCACGAAAAACACCACTTCCAATTTGAATCACAGACTCCGGGATGGTCACACTCGTCAAGGAGCTGCAGCCAAAAAATGCACAGTTTCCAATCTGAGTCACAGACTCCGGGATGGTCAAACTCGTCAAAGAGCTGCAGTCACGAAAAACACGACCTGCAATCCGAGTCACAGACTCCGGGATGGTCAAACTCGTCAAGGAGCTGCAGCCAAAAAAAGCACAGTCTCCAATCTGAGTCACAGACTCCGGGATGGTCAAACTCGTAAACGAGGTGCAGTCACGAAAAACACCACTTCCAATTTGAATCACAGACTCCGGGATGGTCACACTCGTCAAGGAGCTGCAGTCAAAAAAAGCATAGTCTCCAATCTGAGTCACAGACTCCGGGATGGTCAAACTCGTCAAAGAGCTGCAGCCAGCAAAAGCATAAGTTCCAATCTGAGTCACAGACTCCGGGATGGTCAAACTCGTCAAGGAGCTGCAGCCAGAAAAAACTTTGTGTCCAATCTGAGTCACAGACGCCGGGATGGTCAAACTCGTCAAAGAGCTGCAGCCATCAAAAGCATCACTTCCAATTTGAATCACAGACTCCGGGATGGTCAAACTCGTCAAGGAGCTGCAGCCAGAAAAAGCTTTGTGTCTAATCTGAGTCACAGACGCCGGGATGGTCAAACTCGTCAAAGAGCTGCAGTTCTGAAATGCTCCAATCTGAGTCACAGACTCCGGGATGGTCAAACTCGTCAAAGAGCTGCAGCCAGAAAAAGCATTATCTCCAATCCAAGTCACAGACTCCGGGATAACCAGTCGCAACAAGCAAGCGCATCCTTCGAAAGCACCTGTTTGGATGGATGTTTCAGTGCTAGGGATGCGTACGTCACGCAATTCCTCCACCGTGTGGCCAAATGCATTAACACACTCAATTGCCGGCTTGACATAGAAGATAACCTGCACGTTGGCAGAGTCGAGGATACAATCTGAGACGGTCATCTGAAGATCATTCAGTTTCTCCCCGTGAAGGACAAACTCCACGGTGCTGAGTATCCGGGTGATCTCATCCTCTGATGGATGGAAAACCTTCACTTCCTCTTTCAACTCTCCAATCGTCATTTCTGGCCGCACTGCCAGGGTGTAAACTTTGCCACTGAGCAGTTCCACATTGATGTTTCTTGCCATCGCAACACACAAATTTTCCAAGAAATCTCTGGTCTTGAACCACTAAGGTGCCCCAAAGCAATCTGTTATCAGAAAACCTACTGGTTGCTTCACAGCATTCCTATATTGGATTAGTCCGAAATCCTCATCAACTTCCCGAAAATACCAACACAAATTGAACTGTAGATACAAATTGAACTTTAGATACGTAACCATATGTGTTCCTTAAATGGTGGTGTTGATGTTTGTGTGAGTTCGATCGGGTTGTTGTTACATTATATCTCCATGAGTGTGGGTTTGCCCGAAACTTTGAAAAGGACCGACAAGAATGTAAATGCTCAAATGAACATGTGTTGAGCATCATTTTCCCCAAGTTAGCATGTTGGACTTGTCTGAAAATGGCTACTCAAAGTATGTACCCTCCGGTAAACGTTTACAGTTTGCTATTGAAAAATGCTATAGAAATCGTTGATTTCCCCATTAAAAATGGTGATTGACCCATTAAAAATGGTGGATCTTTCTTTCCATATAGCTATGTGTGAAAAATCCCGAATCGATGGCCATGGGATCCTTCGGTCATCTAAGGGTGATATTTTCCCGGGATTTCCGGCATCCATCCCCATTAGAAATATATATCATATATCCCATCTCCGAACACAAGATGATAAACAAAAAAAAAACCTAACTTCTAGCAGATTACAATTAAAAAAAAAGTTGCAATTGTTGTGAATGATGGAGGAACATATGAATCCTAAATACTATAGGTGAATTACCCTCTGGTTATTGAACATAGCCATGGTATAGATGGCCCATAGAAATAGATGGTTCACCTATTGATAGCATGGTGATTTTCCATGGCAAACTGCTAGTCATAACCAGAGGGTAATTACACTTTTTGAATTCCTAACAATGGTCATTTTCCATTCCTGATCCATGTGAATCAAAAAAAATGGAAAGCCCGGGCTTACGCTCTCATCGAAGGCTCAGTGATCTGGCAGCTCAACTGGTTGTCTAACCCATAGGATCCATGGTGCTGGTATATTAATGCTAACATAAAGGGGGTATATTGATGGTAAATGTTACCATATATAGCATACATGGATCCTATGGGTAAGTGTAAATTACCGGGTTGTCACGTTAATAAAGTCATAGATCGCAGCATGGTGTCAAATCGGCATGAAAATAGCGCTGCCAGCACACTTTTTGGTTATCTGGAGCCCGACGGAAGTCACGTGGCGTGGCAACCTCATTTAAATCACCATCAAATCACCATAAAAATCACCACGAAATCATCATTTCCATGATTTTCCATGGTTTTCTCACCGCATCACCGCCTTGGCCCATTGGCCCATTGGCCCCACCTCAACTCCTCAAAGACCTGCGTAGCTTTCTGCCAGGCGCTTTCTGCAGAGCCCACGGCGCTGATCAGGGCGTTGTAGCTGATGACCTGGGAACAAAAAAACCGTTGGAAATGGCACATTTAGTTGATAATGGTTGATAATGGTTGAGGTTGATAATGGTTGACCTGGGGTTAATATTGGGTTGATAATGGTTAATATTGGGTTAATCATGGTTAATCATGATATAGCCTCTGGTTATGTCAAATAGCTCATGAAATTGACACATTTAGTTCCTTGATTTACCTATGACTTATGAAACATGGTGATTTTCACTATGTTAGTTTACCAGAGGGTAGCCGTATGGTACCCTAAGTCCCAAGTCACCCAAGGTTTCAATACAAACAAAACGATATATAACATATAATTTTGCAATAAATATAAAAAATATAATATATATAAAATACAATATACAATATATAATATATAATACAAAAATATATAAACATATATATATATATGATATGCTTTTGAAATATATATATATATATACATTTACAATATTTTAATACAAAATAATATAATATAATATAATGCAAAATATAATAATATAATATATATATATATTCAAATTATAGAAAAAATGAAAAATTGTATAGTAATATATAAAGTTTCATATATTATATATATATAATTTAAAAATTATAAACTATATAATAATATTATATTTAATGTAAATAATATATTGTATAAAAGAATAAAAATGATAAGATAAGATAATATATAAAAAACAATATATATTATAATATATATATATATAATACGATAAAATTTAGTAAACTATAGTGTAATATAATACAATATATAATATAATATATATATAATAGTACATATAATATATTCAATATAATATTTATATATTGTATTGAATATTAATATATTGTATATATGATGTAGTATCAAATGAATATTACATATTTAATATGAACAAAATATAATAAATAATATATATATATATAATATTTGATAATATACCATGCAAAACAAAATATAGTATAATATAGCAAGACATATATATAATATTAAATAGTATAATAATATATAACATGTAAAAAAATGAAATGTAATATAATAAAATAAAATATAGTTTAAACAATAAAAAACAAATAAATAATAAATTGTATTATCTATAACATATGAAATATAATACACTTTATATAATATTATTAAAAAATATACATATCATATAATGTATGTAATATATTTAAAACATAACTAAATTATATATAATCTATATTATAAAAATATAATGTGCATAAGATAATGTAATATAATAAATCTAAAAATATATATAATAAAATACAATATTGTATGTATATAGTGTAATAGAGAAAACAAGTATCTGTAGTAAAATATTTTATACTATAATAAACAAAATATATAATATTATATAAAATATAATATTATATATAATATAAAATATAATATAATATAAAATAATATAATATAATATAGTATAATATTAGTATAATATAATATTAGCATAATATAATATAATAAAATATAATATTATGAATATACAAAATAGTATATATAAACTATTGTATATAATATCGTATATATAAAATGATATAATATATATATATAAATATATGTATATAATATAATATATAATATAATATATTATATAAAATTAAAATATAATATAATATAGTTCAATTTAATATATAATGTGATATAATATAGTACAAAGGTATTCGATGATGGCAAAGATGACCCTGCCAATCATGGGGATATGCATGGTACACTAGGTTGTAGAATATAGGTTTTCACGGAATGTATATCAATATAATATATATATATTGAATGCAATACAATATATAATAATATATACTATATAATATATTAGGGATATACGGTAATCATCTCCAATCCAAATCCAGCAAGATGATGACCTGTGGGGCTCGGTGGTTCACAGGGACACTGGAACAGTAAATCGCTAGTAATAGATGGATAGATGGTAAATCCCTAGAAAATCACAATCAAATATTAGTAGGGATGTAGAAACTTTACTTTTCCATCTATTTGGGGATGGGGACTAATATACTAATTTCATGGTGGTTTACTTTTTCATCTATTTGGGGATGACTATACGTTGTGGTCGGAATTTATTCCTATAGTGAAAACAACATAAAACAGCGTCATAAGTTGCTTAATCATATGTTTAGGGTCATATGTTTAGGGCAAACCCATCAGGAATACGCACGCTGGCTGCAATCGTGAAGGACAAGCACAGTTTTGACAAAGGACATGTGCTTCGATTTCCTTGTCCTTCATCATCTGCATCAGCCGCAAAGCATTCCTGAATCACACCCGCTGCCGAGTTTTCCTTTATAGACACTGCAAAAACCCTATATATTGTTCCCCTTTTTTTTACTCCCGTTACAATGCTTTGAATCCCATGCTTAAGTTGATGCAACCCTATGTTTTTGCGGTTAAATTGACATCATTGTTGACGAAACCCGAAAAACTGTCCATTGAAATCTCCATTGAGAACCCATGTTCGGTGGTCAAATCCGACTTCTTTTGATGATCAACCCCATGACAGCCGTATTTTTCCTAAGTTAAGGTCACATGAAATCGTTATTTTGTGCAAGTTGAAATCAATTGTATCGCCTTTTTCGTTTTTTTCTCTGGTTAAATCCACCATGATTGTTAACTAAATCGTTGTTCCAACGATGTTGTTGGCTGACGGCAAACTCAAAACCGTGGGTAAAGCTACATGTGTTTGCTCCTTAAATCCACCAATTTTCAGTCAGTGAAATCCGCAATTTTTTGGATCATTTTGAAGATTGTAAAATCCCGAGTGAAACAGTTAAACACACCTGTTTAAAAAAAAAATGTTCGTAAAGTAGGTACACTCAATACAATCCACAATTTTCCAGTGAACTTCCGCCATTTTTCCCATTAAGATCACCGTGTTTTTGTGGTGAATTTCCCCCATTCTTCGTTGCTTGGCCAATTTCTTCGCCTCGTTTCTGCCATTCTGCGCACTTCTCACATGCGCTAATGGCCGCGCTGCAGGCAATGACATTGCAGCGCAGGCGACCGACGGTGAGGTGCTGAAGCAGCAGCAGTGCCTCCACGATTTCGGCAGCGTTGAAGGGTGGAATCGTAACGGTTCAGAATGCACAAATGAGAAGATGCTGGGTTTAAGCCACCTATAGATGAGGTGTTTAATGGGAGTGAGATTGGATGTTGCTAACTATGAAACACTCTAAATACTTCGAAAAGGGGATAAACTTTTAAACCATCTATACAACAATTGATGCAGGATTTCTTCCATCCACAATATTTGAAGTGGTTCATGTGATTTCATGAGATGGTGTTCCCTGTGGATTTAGTGGAATTTGCCAGTACAATATGATGGGTTTATCAAACGTAGGTAATCACGTTAAAAAAAATAGGTTTAACAATGAAAATTACTTTGCTTCGAGTGATCCCCACCATGACATTTCAAAACAGCTTGTTGACACCACTTTTGTCTGAAGCTTTTGTCACGGGACTTTTGCCCAACTAACTATCCCAATCATTTGTTTCACCTGGCAGGTCATTGTGCATGTCATCTGTTCAAACTGATTGCTTCAAACTTTGCCACCTGCAAAGTAAGAAGTGGCATTGCCCCGGTCACTCTACCACACACGCGTGAGTTTGCAAGTAATATATAACATACTTGTCTGACATTCTTTCTAACTTTCTTCTGCACATTCTTTGTCCCATATCTTCCTACATGAGGTCCGGCAGGGAACACTTGGCGTGGATACTCGCGGTTGAGGTCCGGCAGGGAACACTGGGCGTGGATGGTCGTGGTTGAGGTCCGGCAGGGAACACTGGGCGGGGATGGTCGTGGTTGAGGTCCGGCAGGGAACACTGGGCGTGGATAGTCGTGGCTGAGGTCCGACAGAGAACACTGTGCGTCGAGGGTCGCGGTTGAGCAGGAGGAGGAGGAGGAGAGGAGAGGAGGAGGAGCAGGCAACTGACATAAAATCTAACAATCCTCACCTGGCAGGTGGGGAAACAAAAACATGGATGAAACCAGCTGAATTGGGATTTAAACAATCAAAATTAATATGCATATAATATGTAATAAGTTCCAGCTAATGGTGCTGAAAAGTCACAAAATCAGGCAATTTGCACATAAGTTATGTTAGTTGCTAATGTGCATCTGGGGAAATGATAAAAACACACTTACATAACTACCAAGAAGGGGACTATAAACATTTGAATCGATCTAGTATATCCAGCACAATTGGTAATAATTCACCAGCAAAATGGTAGTGGTATTTCTGTTGCGCGTATACGATATTCACCTAGTACATCTATACACAACATATATTTATTTCACACCACTATATATATATATATATATCCCCATTTCTGGCAATGCTTAAATGTTCCATCTGTGGCCAACAAATACACCCAAGTGCCACGGTGCAAGGCACGGCGCCTGTTGCGATTCCCCAAGGCGGTCACATGCACTGATGGCTGCTCCATAGGTGATCATGTTGGGATTCAGGCCCAAGCTTTCCTCGCGAGCTCACCAAAAAGGTGATGAAGTCTGGGTGGGTACAAAATGGCAAACAACAAAGGTAACCTCCCCGCCAAAACATGGTTTACCCACTATGGATATGGTTTTCGCTATATATTTTGTAATGTTATATAAGCAAATCCCTTCCCTCGAATACACATCCACCAGAAAATCTGGAGTAAATCATAGGAAATCTCTGAGGATTGGTTCCCTCTCCACCAGGAATCCGCTTCTTCAATGAAGGTCCACACTTCTTGGACTGATCTGCAACCCCCGAGCATGGCGTTGTACGTGATGAGGTTGGCTTTTAACCGAGAAAGATTCAGTGCACGCCTTGATGAATGGCAAAAAGGTTCAAAAGGTGAGGGTCCAGAATGAGCATGCTGACTGCAGTACATGGTAGGCCACACAACCAAAATAGCTCCAAGCACTTTTTCCATGAAGCACCAACATGTTGCACTGAAACGTGACCGCACCGCTAGAGTTGCAGCCAAGAAACAGCAAAGACAAGGCGTGATCCCACTCGGCTGCATTGCTACAAGCTGTGATGGCAGCATTGTATGAGATCACCTGTCACGAGGAGGGGCCAATGGGCGCCACATCTCTGGCCATGGGTTGATGATATGGTTAAATATGTTCAGGGCAATTCCATTAATGGATATACATATATAAGTATATACATATATATATAATATTGTATAATATCTAAATCCATCAATATAATTTGATATTAGTTATCTGGACCTAAGTATGTCATATCCTCATCTTGAACAGAATTGAATGTGTTCTAACCCAAGGTGATTCACAGTTCAATGTTTGCTTCATTCTTCCGGGCAAGACCAGGTAAGGTATGTATTTCACATTCTATAGCAATCAGCAAACATCCGTTGCACAAGGAATCAGCAGTCAATTAATCTACCAATTAGGCATGGCTAGGCTCGACTTATGTATCTTGCAAACATAATTCTGATATATATGTGTGTGTGCGTTATTCAAGAGACATGACATGGTTAAATAATCAATTGAATTCCAATTAGTTTCCAACGAAACACATGAGACTTATTAACGAACCAACAAAATGACGAAACTAGAAAAAAAACACATCATGAATTGTTCATCACCCCCTTGTGCATCTGTTTACTTTCTATCTCCTCATTCAACAATTTGAACATGGCAAGTGGCGTCGCAGCCCGTGGCGGTGGCATCCGCATCTTCCAGCAGTGCCAAGGCTCTCTGCCACTCCTCGGCCATGGGATGATGATGTTCACTATGTTCACCATTCCCACAATGTGAGGCCCCCGTTCGATAGCTAAGTTGGTGCCAATAACTCCAACTTCACTATGGTTTATGGTACTTATAACGAACTAGTTACTGGGGCGAATCTAAACCAACTTATAACTGGGGGGCCTCACATTCCCAGGTTTCAAAGGTGGTTTATGACATTGTTTATGACCACATTCGGGATAGAGATGGGGGGGGATTTTCACTAATTATGGGATTTAGGGAGAGTCAATGAATCGGTGATGATATGGGGATATGCCCTCCGGCAATCGAACATGGCTCGCCGAGAAATCCTCATTTAGTTCGGGGATTTTCCTAGCTATAAAGCTCTAGATATTCCTAGGGGATTTTCCAGCTAGCCACATTTGATTACCAGCTGGGTATGTATTGTTAAGTAGATAACTGGAATAGTTGGAGAATGAAATTAGTCTGTTTCTCTCCTGTAGTGAAGACCATGTACTTAGAAAAAAGTAGGAGTGTATCAGCCATGCCTGTCAGATATGTGGAAATCATGTCATCAAGTACTTACAAACACCTTGCCACAGTAACTTTAGTAATCGTCACAACAGGAACATGTCACCAATGAACATGTGACACGTGCGTCTATAAAAATAAATCAACAAATTTGGGAACAAATGATTTGTCATTCCCGTGATCATGATATTTATAATCACATCCCTGATCATAACAATGTAATAACAATTAGTCATCGCATCGATTATCTTTGAACACTTTGAACAACACTGAAAGCAAATATCAGGTAGATTCAGGTAGATGCATCGTTTTCCAAATTACAAGGGCAGGTGGAAAGAAAAACATGCTTCCAGAATCATGTATTCTGGCTTCGGTACCGAACGTGTACAATATATGATATATGGGTATGGCTCAAAAAAATGATACCCATACAACCATGCATAAAACATCAAATTTTGAAAGCAAATAGTTCGGAATCATAGCCTACAGTGTTTGCATTTCAAGGTTCCCACTTGTATTGGATTAAGTGAATCCATGTTCTCAAGTTGCCTGCTAAATGTTCAAAAAACACCAATGTTTTCCAACCAGAATCATCTTGCATTTGCCTAAGGGAGCCCTGCCCAAAAATAAATATACTTCGCAATAGATAAGGAAACGCAAAAATGGTGGAGTACCCAATAGAACTTCAGCAAAAACAGTGATCACCCACAAAAAGATACTTTATCTTGATCCCCCAAATAAATCCACTTCACGAAAACATGACACTTCTTTCCGCGAAACCACTTCCCACAACAACCCCTGCGCGGTTGGAACTTCCTCGCCGAAAGTCGCCACTCTTTGCGCAGGCGCTGATGGTCGAGTTGTAGCTGATAAGGCTCGCTTCAAGTTCCCGTTGCCGGAGATCATCGAATAGCCTCGGCGAACCACGCAGGAAAAACATGGTTTTGTGCAAAATGGGGTACCCTAGGGTAAACCTTTACATAGATGTGGAAAACATCGATGTGGAAAACCCATGGTTTCTTTAAAGGAAAACAATCTACAACTAGGGGATTTTCCACTGTTAGGGTCCCCCAATGTACTCAAAATTGCAATCTATACTGGGGAAAATGAAGGTTTCCAGCATCAAAATTTGGGGGCATCCAAGTTTCAGACCAACCTGAATGGCTGTGATTGGACTGGATTTTGAAGGTCACATGATCAATTACGTCAAAACAAATATTGCAGTCAGTATCATTGCACTATCTATCTATATTATAATGTCCTGGAAGCCACTTTTAGGATTAACAAACAAATTGCGTCCAACAAATACTCTCGCTACAACCCCTTGTTGTTGATTGATGTCACCACTCTACATATACATATCATAGGTATATAACTATATGTACATTTTATCTAAAATTATACGTGACATTTATGTATAAAACTGCTTATATAGTGTGTATATATATATAGGTACATACTATTCTATATATGTATATAAATGTACGTATCTGCATGTATAAATGTACATAAAGCGTTGCATTGTCGATGTTGGCCCATCCACCATATTTCATCATAATTCATGAATCTCGCCACGTTCTTCGCATCGAGAAGCTGAAGTGCCAAGCTCCATTTGGACACCTTTTCACCTCATTTTCCAGCCAAAAGAACCACACATGTGTGGAGGGATATATACAACATTTATGGGGATGGGAAATACAAAGAAATGGGAACATGTAAAAAATATTGGGAAATACAGGAAATATATGTTATATTCGAGGTAACTGAGGCTATATTCGACGTAACTGAGGCTGCAGGTATCCCAATATTGAGGGTTCCCAATATACAATCCCCAATTTTCACCTTCCACGCGGTTGCAGCAGTTCCTGCAACTGCCGCCGGTGGCCGCTGCTGCGGCTTCTTCGGGTTCTTCGAGACCGTGGTTTGCAGAGGCCTGCCAGCTGGGACAATGGTATGAACCAGAATATAATATAGAGGTAATTGCAACGCCATCACATGAATATATTTCATGGCTATAAAGTCAATGTTTCGGGGCGGTCTAGATAAACTTTGAATCTATTAAAATCATGATCGCGATTAGCTCTTTCGGCACAAGATCCAGAAGATCCAGAGCAACAAGAAGACTGAGGACAAGAAGGGCAACAGCCTTATGGATTCACATCCGAATGAAATCCGTGACGCCTTGACGCAGGATGGAATGGCAAGCCTCACCTTGAACAGCAACGGCTTGCGCACCACCAAGGCAGCATGGGTGAAAAAATACATCGCCATCCTGACGGAAAAGGAGAATGCAGAGGTTGCAGCAGGCCAGGCAAATCAGCTGTTGACCAACGCCGAGAAATACAAGAAGGCAGTGGAAGCTTGGATGAGCTCGTACTTGCGAAGTGTTTTGAACAGTGGCAAAGACAAAGGATTTGCCAGCATTCCAGCCTCAATGCTGGCTGTTTGAGTGTGGATGTGTTTGGGTCGATTTGTAACTTAGATCATTGAATCTCATGATCGCTGCTGTGGGGAACCGGCGCGGTGAAAGGTGAAAATGACGGTTTGAGAGCTTACGCAGTGCTTATGCTCCCTCTTGCAGGGAAACTATCCATGTATGTTTCTACAAAATCCACATCCGCCTTCAATTTTTCTAGAACACCACCACGGGAGATGATTTTTTTGAAACCTACAAAATGTCATGCTGTGCAACGTGCTGCCTGTACATTGCATTATCTCAAGGATGGGCCCAAGATGATGAATGGGGTTCAAGTTCAAATCGAGGGGTGTATATAATGTCTGGGATAAAGGGTTTCATCTTGGGTCCCTTATTGAGGTAATGTAATAATGTATTGGTGGTATACCTGCATCCCTGACCTGACCACCGGCTCCTGGAGGTTGGACCATCTGTGGTTGCTCCAGCCGCGGCAGCGGCCAACCGGGCGGCAGCCCGGGAAGGGAGTTAACACCCTTAAGAAGTACATGGGGGTATTTAGAAATGCGTACATGGGGTCTGCTAGATCCAATTACCTTGAAATTGGACTCAATTACATTGAATATGACATATAATGTGGACCTATAATGCTGGTTTAAGGATGTACAGTATAAGGGAGATAGTGTGATACAACGCGAATATAACCTCCGGTGTCTACATGGGCATTTGTATAAATGGGAAAATCATCCATCAAAATTAGGGATTGTCTATTGCCTATGCTTGTCGATTTGGTTCGACTGGAAACTATTTGGTGAACAGATTCTTGCAGTCCACGACTTGAACAACAATTGAACAAATACAAACAAAGTTCATGTAATTGATAATGATCCTCTCTTATATTGGATGCGATTGCACATTCTTCTTGTAGGTGTTCAATCTACCACTTGCCCATCGTGGCTAAGTGTAGCTAGTAATTAGATACCCCCAAAGTCACTGTGAGGGAATCTAATTAATAGCCTCTGGTAATCAAACATGGCAATGGAAAATCCCTCATTGACTTACTTGTGCGTTTTACGTAGGGAATTTTCGGGAATGATCCACTGGCTAACTCTCAATGTCATAATCCCAGCAACCCCCAGCAACCCATCCATTCCCTACCAGTAAGTTGATGTCAATGACTTTCCCATTCAAACGCTCCATTTTGTTCCCGGATTTCCCCCCAAGTTCTCCCCCAAGTCACATGCGCTGATCGATGAATTGTAGCTGATCACATCCTCCTACCGGTTATGGGCAAATCGAAGAATGGACTATACACCAGACCACATCTAATCTGTATATATGCTGAACTATACATATACGTATATGTTATATGTATATATATATATATGTGTGTGTCATGCCAATTTTTAGACCTCAAAGAATTGAGATATATTATTGGCTTTATCACAATATGCATTAAATTATAAGCCACATTGTTTACCTATACATACACGTCCCACTAGCAAAAAAAAACGCTTATCTAGGTAAAGATGTCAGCCCTCGTGCGAGACTCACATGGGACCCTAGGGCATTCATAACCAAAGCATGAACAGCTTCTATGTTTTCTCTCAGAGGATTCACTTTTGACTCAAAAATCTGCCGCTGTTGTATTGGGTCTAATATGTCCGTGTATATTTCTGATTCACATCTGAAAGCTATAACACATGTTCAGCCACCCTTCACCAATCAGTTTTCACCCAGACCCAAACAAACAAAGAAAGAAAGGGTAGAGGAAAAAGAAAACGGTACCCCTAAATCCATTGGATACTCATATGTTTCCCGATTAAAATTGCTGTTTTTTGGGGAGGTATACAACACACTTTCAGACACACTCAAATGCTCGATACTATTGGCTATGTTAAAATCCACATTATATCCTCATGGTTTCCCTATGTTTCCCTATACAAAATGAATGGTTAAGTCAATACTGTCCTTGGTTACAACGACAAACAAATATAAGAGGGTTGAACCCACGCATGTATCCCATACGTATAGCAACCCGTCTGTGAATATGCTTCAATACTTGGTTGCACCCCATGTATGTGTATGCATATATATATATTAATACATGTATATATATATATATATTATAAGTATATACATATACATACTGTATACATACATCATATCATCCTGAGATGTTAACCGTGTGTGTAAATATATAAACTATATGGGATTAGTTTGCTCCATTTGGATGTCATAATTCCCATGACATCTCCTGCAGTTGCTGCTTGGGCATGGCATGTAGCAAGTCGAAAGCCTTCTGCCACTCTCCGGATTTCTCACACGCACTGATGGCCTAGTCGATCAATGGCCAGAACATGGTGATTCAATGTGATTCAACCAACCAAAAATGCTGATTCATCGTTGATTTATGCCTAAGTTGGTACATATCACTGGTAATACTGTTGGGTTTCTGGTAGAAATGTCATATATTTCAAAATACTTAAACGAGGTTATACAGCAACACGCATATCTGGGGCCCCACATTACGATCGCAGCTGGTGGCATGACACACCATGCATCTCGCTTGGAGGATTGAGATATATCTATATCTATATCTATATCTGTATATATATATATATATATATATCCATATCTATATATATATATATATATATCTATATATATATCTATATATATATCTATATATATATATATATACATATACATATATATATATGGATTCCTGACATACCATCAACATAGATCAACATATTTTTGGATTTTCGTAGCCTGACTTTGTCAACTCCATCCGACGGGATTCCCATGGATTCCTGGATCCATTTCCCCACCGATCCACCGATCCGATTCCAGGAACGAGGGTTGGGAGTTAACAAAAAAAAAACATCATTGAATCTATGGAAAAGCCAACAAAAATCTATGGAAAATAACGATAAACAAATATGAAAACACTGTTATATTATATGTTCTATTACTATTAGAGCCAAAAATAATGAAACAATAACGAATTCATGGAACAAAATCAACGCAACGCAGTCACTGAATTGTAGGTGATGACATTGACTTCCACTTGGACCTGGGCAGTTCCAAGACAAGCAGCTTAGATGTGAGTAGATATGGAGGTTGCTTCAAATGGATGGGTTTCAAGACTAAACTGGTCCAATTTTTGGGGGGTACTGTATCCATATCTTGGTATAATCCCTAATCACCTATATATGGCGGATGGGCCCGGGAGATGACCATAGGTGGCATGACCATGGCCAAGCAAAAGGCTCATGATACGCCAACTATGCGACCGGACGGACCACTCTTTTCTTTGGATGAATTTGGTTGACTCAAAACATCCCTATTGAGGGATTTGATGACCGATCGACCATGGCACATATGATCTTGGGGTGATTTCTCATTGCATGGGTCCCTCCACCCTACCCTAGTGTTCATCCAAAATAGCTTGGTAGTACTTGGTAGTTCTGGATGCTCATCCTACCCATAATATTGAGCCCTAACCGCTTTTAACCCATACACATAGATTTCAACCATCCTTCAGCCAAATGAATTGCACTGATTCACCATATGTTTTATCCATCATTCAGCCATAATTCTGCCAAGAAAGTGCTGTCAAAGGTGCTGAATTCACTTCAGAAAGAATCAGCAACGCCGGAAGCCATTCCTGTCCATTGGTGCAGGCGTTGATGGCAGCTGCGAATGGTACCTCAACATCACCAGCTGATGAATCATGGCAGCCAAAGAGAGTCACACATTTGGGACTGAAACGGTACCCCCAAGATAGCTGGTTAATGGATGGTTACTTCCCTGAATATGGTAACTTCCGAGGTTTTGACCCATCCCCATATGTTTTTCCTATTCAGTGGCATATGTCACACCATAGTTCCCATATGTTCCGTCCTAGTTCCCTTCCGGGGGTCTCCATTTCGTGTTTCTGCTGCGGATATGGGCACAGTTGAATCTTCAGGAAATCATGGGCCAAATTGACATTGGAAAACCTCCTTTGGAAAATTGAAATGTCCAGGGTACCCATGGGTACCCCACATCAAGCACCAAGATTCAAAACCAGCAGTACCATCAGTTTCCTGAATTTTCACCGAAGGGCCACATCTAACTCCAAATTCTTGACCTCCAATAGCTCTTGAAGTAAGGCGATGGCTTGCTTCCATTCCCCACTCTTGGCACAGGCACCTCAATGATGAACGTCATCGAACATAAAATTTATGGAAGTAATAATCTGTAGAGAAACAATACCAACCATTAAAAGATCTAAACACTATACAGATTGTTTACAATGACTAAACATGTAGCAATTTGTAGCACGAATGTGATTTTGTCGTTGTTTCGTTCACCAGTCATACAATTTGATCATCCAAGAAGGCGCTGGGGATCGCTTGGAACAGCAACCGACTCAAGCCAATCAAACTTCTGGTGACGACTGGTGATCTACTCCAAGTTACTCAAGTTACTAAGTAACATAACTTTTGGTGGAATCTGAATGGCTCCGCCACCCTCAAATCAATGTGCATTGCTTTCCACAACATGATGTCCCAGTGAAACCAGTTTGACGTCACCGACAGCAACACTGGCTCCGGCTCGGCTTGCATATATTCTTACATCCAGCATCAGGACTTATCCATATAGTGCATATGTTTCTGTTAATGTAAGTAAGTAAATGTATATGTACATGCATACGTATATTATATTATATATTATAATAGTATATAATAGTGATAAAGGCATATATAGTATAGTACAAAACTGTCACAACCATCCAGCGCGTATCATAAATTCTTCTCAAGTCCCTCTCACCGCTCAAATCATCCAAGCGGTCCACTTATCACCGCGCTGTGCACCAAGAGATTCGCTTCCACTTTTTCCTGCAAGAACTTGTAGGATTCAACCATCAAGGGGATCACCATCGATCAAATGTGAAAAATCATCAAATGGGAGATCTCCGCTATTTTGGATGATCCATAGGGAAGTCCCACACACGGTGTGTGATCCACCGCATTCCATGTGTGCTCGTGTCGATTTGAGGGGCTTCAAACCAATCTCCAAAAAATGATGGAAATATAGCTATGAACCAAACATGGAAACATGGGCATTAGATGTATGATGATGTATGTACAATAGATGGGCTGTTGGTTCGGTCGTTGAGGCGCACATCCCAAAAACCCTGCTGGTCAAGTAGGCCCAATCATATGCACATAGGGAAGGAGAAGCAACACATATCTTAAACCACCAACTGAACAACACGGAGGGTCAAAACTCTTACTAGGTGGTGGAATGAACACATTCAAATCACATGTGGCTTCGGAACAACATCTGATTTGAAAAGAGTGGATGGGTTTCATAACAGTAATCACCAACCATATCTGAAATTCCTTTTGTCCTAAGAACTCTTCCACTTTTGAGTACAGCCCCTGCCCTCCACATAATTCATCAGTGGGAACTCCTCTTGGCAATCCAACAAGATTTGCAGTGCTTGCGGCCAATCGTGCATTGACACTGAACGAATTCGGTCAATCTGAAGCTTCAATGCTCTGACGTTTGAGCCAAGCATGGCAGCTGACATTCAGCGTCTGGTGTCTTCAACCCTCTTTCTGGGGCATCCAAAACATGAGCTGTTCATAGATGACATTGGGATATTCATGTACAAATGCGCAGCATGATTTTCGACCCAGAGTTATGACCCAGGGCCCAAATCGCTAGCGCCGATTTGATGTGTTCCGCCAACGTGGAAAACACGGCTGGCGCGAAAAAAAAGGCGTCAATCCCTGCTTGGCTATTACTAAATGAGTGAAGCGATTAATTACCCATCACGGTGAGGGTATACTCCATTGAATCACAAGGCTTGGCGAACATTTTCAAATCTGGATCCTCCACAATGAATCCCAAAGCTGATATAAGGCCAGTGCTGACTATTCCCCCGATTCACGCCAACACTTTGGACTCTCGACCCTTGAAAAAAACCATCAAGTGAGACATTTCAACCACAAATCGGGACCCCAAATCCCCAAACACGACCAAACTTCGATATGTTTCTCGATCCAAGGCTCTTTGGCAACTCCTTCAACAAATGCAGACCTTGGCGCGCCCTGTTGAGGTTTTTTTGTGGCCATGATCTAGCTATGGCTGTAGATAACATTGAAATTCCCTCTCAATGATGGTGAACATGGTGCTGAAAACAAACACAACGTGCGCGGCAAACAGACTCGACTCCCACCTTCGTGAAAAGCCCAGCCCAAATAGGTGCTACTCCCTTGTTAAAATCATCATACACCCCAACTATATTATATATATACACATACGTACATATACAGTAATCTTTGTAAACCATTAATAATTCAATTCAGCCATCCAGATTGATGGTTAATACAAGCCATTTATGGTAAAAAAATGCTGCTGGATCCAGCGATTCGCCAAGGCGCGAGTTTGCGGCGGCACCAATGCCTCCACCGAAAAACGTGTCAGGTTCATCCAGGTTCCATAGGAATATGTGGTCATTCACCATCAGTATATCTGGGGATATAAACCAACCATGGGCCATGGGAATTGAAGCAACAAACATAGTAGCTTAATTGATCTTAATTGATCCTAATTGATCTTAATTATCTTAATTCTCTTAATTGAAAATATCATAATCAACCAACATTAACCAGCATTCACCAGCTTGATATGATACTTGATATTGGCATTGGCACCCCGCCGCAAAGCCACCTGCCACGTCTGCACTGCCGCAGCCATGGGTTTGTGCAGCTGGTTCGGCACCACGCAGGCGTGTCTCACCTGTCAAATCATGGAGATATCATGGGATAGTTGTGCAAAAATCAGGGGGGTTTAACACGGTTTAACCAACAACAACTGGATTGGGTGATTTAACCAATTATTGGGATTCCCAAACCATAAGGAGATATTATGGTAATCTTAGAGAATTAGTGGTAATGTAGAGATGTTCTGGTGATAATATCACTGTGATATTAATCGAAATCAAAGGATAGACAACCAACAATCTGATGTTCAGAATGGATTGATGTGGATGGAATAACAACACTTCGCAACAAAAAAACTCCAGTAACCCCACAAAATCCCACAAAAGATAATGATTCCTCACGTTGTAAAACCACACTTTCAACTTCTATTCTTTTTCGGTGGTTGCTCCATGATTAATCCATTATGAATCCACTAATATATTATTATCATGGAATATGATTAACACTGATTAACCATTCTTAACCATTATTATCCCAATAGAATCTCTTTATTGGAACTTCTCACCTTCTTTTATCAACATCCCGACGGTCCAAAAGTCATCACCTTGGTCACTTCATCCCAGAGCAGGGAAGCTTCGCGGCAACCGGCGGATTGTAAGCTGCGTTCCTGCGGAGCGACCGTGACGTTGAAACGTTGAAAACGGAGCCGTCAAGGTTGGGCGATTTCAGCAGCAAAACATGGGACTGCACTTGCCAAAGATGTGGGGTTTTAAACAACAGAAGTTGATGAGTTAACCAAGAATCATTGGGATTTCATGGACTTGGTGAACAGAAAATGTGGATTACGTTGGATGAAAACCAAGCCATTTTTTGGTGGTAAATCACCAGCGACAGGACATGTGAGGTTTAACCCCCGACTATCCCAGAAGTGATGTGGCACCAGAAAACCCTGAAAATTGCTGTTGCAAACCAACAAAAATGGATCAAAATTGTAAAACAAGTATATATATACCACTCATACCTGTTTGCTGGATCGTTGAATCAATTGAATCCACATATATTTGTTCAAAATACATAAATGTGCTTGCTTCTCAACAAAGTGTGAACAATTAATACAACATCCTATTCTATTGCATCGTTCATTGAACCATTAATAGACATTATTGGTGTATTACTGATGTTGTTCGGTAGTGCTGGTGTATTGGATATTACTGGATATAAAGAATATTGCATGAATCATTCTTGGATATTAATCTGCAACCATGCTTGTAATCGGAAACCAATCATCGAGAGATTTACTCCATTAATTAGACCAATTTTTGGATGTATTCATTACCCATAAGATCCATGTATGCTATATATGGTAACATTTACCATGAATATACCCCAAATGTTAGCATATATATATATACCATGCATGGATCCTATGGGTTATTGGATATTCCATTGATCGAACATCATCTAATCCAATAATTCTCCAATGAGTGACCCTTTTGAATTGGATTTTCCATGAGTGACCCTATCGGATCATTTCTATGAATATACCTCAATGCAATTCAGGGTTGCTCCAAACAGGAAGTAATTTGGGTAAATATAGAGGTAAAAATTACATTTACCCACCCTTAAGTGGCTATAATTTACCAATGAGTTGGAGCAACTGAGCAACCCATTTTTGTTATTCCCAATAACATTCATAGAATTCCGTTTACCCATAGTACTTAAACACTCATCCTAAGACTTCCATGGTCCCAGTCAAATGTTTTTCCCCATGGTCCCCAAATCTGTCCGAATAATGAACAACATAAAGTCCTATTCAGCACTTCTTAGGTTAACGTAAATGGTTCAAACAATATGATTGATGATTCCCCATATCTTAATTCCCTATATGGGAATATCGTTCAAGCATTGACCATAGTTACCATAGTTATAAACTTGATCCATAGTTATATAATGTTATATATCTGGTTGGTGGTTGACCTACCCCTCTGAAAAATGATGGAGTGAGTAACAGTTGGGATGATTATTCCATTCACAACTGAATGGAAAGTCATAAAATTCCATAGTTCCAAACCACCAACCAGCTGTAATAATTCTTATAGTTTATTTTAATTCCCTTTTGTGGATAACATTGATCCATAGTTATAATCATTCTATTCGTAGCTATTCATCCATGTTGGAACATAAGCATGTACCCTCTGGTAAACGTTTAAAATCACCATGGAAAGATCCACCATTTTAAATGGGTAAATCCACTATTTCATTGGTCATGTTCAATAGCTATTTGACATAACCAGAGGGTAAACCTCCACTTTCCTATGGTTTTCCTATGGTTTTCCTGTGGTTTTCCTATGGTTTTCCTATGGATCCATGGTGATTCATCATCAGTTCACCCCGGTTTAAGCGTCGCGTTTCACCATTCCCTGAGTTTCCGCGCCACGCTAGCGAGGTCCAACCACTTGCCACCCACCTGGCGGGAAACGCGACCGAGACTGGAGAGCTGCGGGGACCATGGAAACGATGTGATTTCGTGGGATGAATTCAAGGGATCTAATATGATTTAATGGCATTTAATGGGATTTATATATATATATATATTAATATATAGTAGAATATGGATGAATTTTTACTTGTATTAATATATATTCTATAATCCATATTCTATCTACTCCATCCCATTCTTTCTCTATTAATATATAGAAAGACTGGAGTAGATAGAATATGGATGAATATGGAGATGATGATATATGCAAGGTGGTGCCCACTAGTTATGTTTGTTGGTTTTTAACCCAATCTAACTATATCTACTAATGAGCATCAACAACCTTAAATAAATCAGTTATAAACCAACTTAGCTAACTATGGGGCACCACCTTGTACTGTATATTCAAAAGATACACGTATGTTATGTGTATATATATATCAATAGAAATCACACAGAACATGTCACCCAGTTCAAGGAGAAGGAAATAATTTGGGGATTCAACCTACAATATCATCATCGTTGAGAGCTTAACATAAAAAACTATCCCGTCACATCCACGAAATCAGCATTGAATGGTGAAACAAACTTATTATTACCACCAACATATCCCTGGTATTTACATTCTATACAACTCTCATACCACTGTTACCAACATTAAACCACAATACCCTCAATGTCATCCAAACGTCTTGCTCAATCATCGCCACCACTTCCGGGTGCGACGCAGCTCGTGAAAATTTGGATCAGGCAGTTCCAAGTGAAAGAGACCCTCAGGGACAACGACAGAACAAGCAAAACTATGGAACCGATCCAACGAAATCCTGTAAACCATAATACCTACCGTTGGGAATGTAGGCATATAATATGTATTATTATTGATATAACCGGTATTATAGGTATAACAGGTATTAATAGGTATTAACCGTAATAGGTACAACGGTATAATAGGTATATATTAGGTATTATCATATCAGTATTAATAACCAATAAACAACTATGTATAATCATTATTTATAACCATGTATAATAGGTATTATATAATACCATTAACCAGGTATCTGGGTAAATTATAATGCTACCGATGTTACTACCAACTCACAATAGGTATTATATAATACCATTCACCAGGTATATACTATACATAATGATTATACATGGCTATATAATGTATATTATAACCATATTATAACCATTATATATTATGTATAACCATGTATAATAGGTATTATATAATACCCCAAATGTTAGCATATATACCAGCACCATGGATTCTATGGGTATTATGTACATAATACCGTACTTTTTTCATCCGCCGCCTTCGCGAAGCCATCAGCGCGGCCGCAGTACTCCAAGGTGCCATCGGGCAACACTCGCGCCAAGTCACGAGTCCTGCGCCAAGTCACCAGGCTGGAGAACAGGTTTTCATGGTGATTTAATGGGATTTTTATGGGATTTAATGGTGATTTAATAGGATTTAATGATTTAATGGGATTTAATGGGGATTTTATGGTGATTTTATGGTGATTTTATAGGATTTAAGGGTGGTTTAGTGGGACTAAATCATGGTTTAATGGGATTTAATTGTGATTTAAGGCTATTTAATGGGATTAAATCGGGAAAAGTCTGGGATATACCTAAGGTAAGTAATGGGATTAACTAGGATTAACTAGTTATAAACCAACTTGGGAGAATGGGACAGCTAGTGGGTTTTAAATGGGATTCAACCAACAAACATGGCGATTTCATGGGGATTCTATCGGGGTAGTAGTGGAATAGAACTAGGATATCAGCAGGACATGAAACATAATGAACATCTCAAGATTCATCAAACATTAAACATGGTCATATTATTCACCAACAATAACCATCCTTTCAAAAGAAAATCAGTTTTACTAACCAAAAACATCTCTGTTTCCAACACACACCAGTTTTTATTGAACCCCCAATCGATTTCACCCCGCTCGCCTGTAATGTCGCAGCATGGAGCCGCCAGGACCCACGGGAAGCTCCAGGAAAGCACCTGACGCGTCACTCACCGAGTGCGTCGATCACAAGCCGCGGGGGTTTACGGTTTGCCCAAGCTGAGAAATCCTACACATTTACGGTTTGACCAAATCACCATAACCGTGGTTTTTGCCATTCATGTGGGTTTTTCACAATGCCATAATATGCCGGGATTGCCATCCCCCAAAGCGCCATTTTTATAGGTGGTATGGTTACCATTCCCAAATGGCTAGTTTATTACAGTATCTATATATATATATATATTTATATATATATACATATGATGGGGATTCACGGGGATTATCAATGGCTGAGGATTAGGAATTTGATACAAGGTGAGGCGCCCGTTTACGATAGCTAGACGCACATCACTTGGATAGATCATTGGGATGATCATTGGGATAATAGGGCAGATGGTGTCATAATGGGATAATAGTAGTTAATCAATGTTAAACACATCATCTGGAAATGTGTATACACATATACTATAATATATATATATATACATAGATATATACATAGTGATATATACCCAATGGTATTACACAATTACAGAATTCCTACTTCAATGGTATTCATCTGGGTAAATTGCCATAATTCACTAATCTGAAGGCCATTCGGGGATGATTTCCCTTACTAACCATAATTCCAGGGCTCAAGGTCATGGGGAAAATCCATCGGGGGAATGAAAAACCACCAAGCCATGGACACCCAGAACGTGGTGGAAGAACTGACACCCAGAGAATTGAGGATGTTGGATTATGTTGGATTATGTGTGTGGAATGTGTTTGTGAATTGATATGGGGTGTCACTATTCTGCTTGTCATTGTTTTTTCTATGTATTTTGGGTCCAGACTTTTGGTCTAAAAGCACACATATGCCATGTTCCAGCCTGTGTCTTAGTTGTTGTGCTGATAAGTTAATTCTAATTTCCATAGTGACGTGCAGCAAGCCTGGCAATATAAACGTGAACAGCACACTCAACCAACTGGGATCAACTGTTTTGTGGTCGCTGGTTCATAAGGGTCAATCATCTTAAGTGATAGTTCCAGCATCTTCTAGCATTATTGAACATAGACAAACATTGATGCTTGCACTATCCTCTCCTTCGTGGTGGATAGATCTCCATTCTTAATGGCCATTCAATTAAACAACAGCAATCAAGTTGCATGAAAGCCCCTTTACCTGGTGGTTACTACCGCCCACAACGTGTAGAAGAGCCCCAAGATACCCCACACAAAATCCGACCTTTGTTTGGTGATGCGATGCGAGCTGATAATGAGTACACCATACGATATCAGTGCCATATACCTATATATACTGCAAGTTATATGTTCGTGATGAATATTTGCTATAGTATCATCATTCCTACTAGCTATACTGTATTAGTCCTATAATAGTTATATTAAAAAGCTACTACCATATATTACTGTTACATCGTCGTATATCAACCTGGTTATATTATATAATCATGTGTATATATATAATAAATTATATATACATATAATATGTATTTATATGTGCGGGTTTCCGAAAATAGGACACCCCCAGCCGTCACCATGGGTTTCAATACTTGGATGAGTTCGGGGTACCCCTGGCGCGCTCGGGCCTTCATTGAAAGACGCCTTGGTATAGCCCTGAGCACTCACCTCCAGAGGGCTGGAGATGCCATTTTAAAGGGGGATTGACCCAATAAACAGTGGTGGTTTAACCAAGAATAGTTGGAATTGTATTTAATATGGTTTAACTAACAAGAATGGGAAGTGATAATTTGGTTTCTGTTGGCGAAGTTGGTTTAGTTCAAACACTGTTCACTAGCGTTTATGGCGATAATAACCATGGACCATAGCCAAATGGGGATATGAGGTTATAAACAGTTATAAACCAACTTGTACCTGGGGGTACCACCTTGTAGATACATGGAGTGTATGTAACCCAATCGTTTTCAGGTAAGTCCTAAAGTCTTGACCCCCTCACTTCACTGCGCTGTACCTGCAATTCTGAACCAGTATCAATCCCCAAATAAACTCTTGGATCTCTATCGTTCATAACATTGTTCTTCCGTGAATGGGTTGACTAATTTAATGCTCATATTGGGGAATACTACATTTAATTTGCGGTTTTCACACATGTGAAACTGCCACCTTTTTTTGGCCGACAGAGTATCCACCATTGCTGCACTTATATCTCCCGTAGTCTGATTTCCATAGTTATCAGTTGATTTACAACCCCATCTACTATCTACTGTAGTTCTTTCGTCACCAAAAACCCTACATACATGTGAACTAAACCAATTTAGCTAGCACGTTACATCACCTATCACTCACTCTTGGTTAAACCATGTTAAACCACCATTTTGCCCCATTTTTCTAGGGTATTTTACCCTAAAGAGCCAAGGCCATGTTGGGATCCCACCACAAATCGCCATGTCACCATGGCTCCCGCGATGTACAACTCTCCTCGGTGAATGCGGTGATTGTTTGGTGTGTTATGAATTATAACACGGCAAAAACAGCAATATGAATCTTTTGTAATCTTGTTATATGAATCTATAACGGACATATGAATTATAACAATTATAACAATATTAACATTACCCAAAACCAATCTATGAATTATACTATAACAATTTGGTGAATATACTGTGATGATGATTGTAAATATGATATACCATGGTTATTATTGTAATTTGGTAAAATTGTACTAACATAGTGCTTAATTGTAACTTGCTTCCATGTGTTTGAGGCTGTTCACGGCAACATTGGGTCTACCTGACCTCGACCTAGTTCCCTCGCAAGCCAAAGAGAGCATGGATATGGGTCATGGGTCCAAATTGGGTACCTTCAAAATGGGAGAATCCTGAAAATACTGGACATTACACAAGTCAGTGGTTCCATTCACCCTTGACTATTGAAACACATCATAGCCAAAAAGTTAGCTAGCTGGTAAATATCCATAAAGATTCCCATATCTATAGCAAACGCTTCTTTTCTAAAGTAGCCATCAAACAATTCTCCAGATATGAGGCATCTGCTGCAGTATCCTGTCCCACCAAATCTCCCAAAAACATGTTGCCATCCCCTGGTCCAGTGGCCCAGTGGCCCGGCCCAGATTTCAGACAAGGCGCCGACCTCTCCTGGCAATGAAAGCAGCACATGGAACATATTTGGAATTTTCACAACTTGAAGGCTGGTTGGTTGGTTCGTTGGGTTTCTCAACAACAGACCTCCGGAAATAAAATGATCTCTGGAAATAGAAACTATATATATAAAATTATATATATATATAATCCTTTGTTCTTAATCTGGACCCTAAAAGAAACAAATTTTAGGATGTCCACCCAAACCCCCAAACCTATGCTGCCCAAACCAACCCATTCCGTGCCCAAACAAGGTGGTGCCTCAGACGGCAAATAGCTTCACTGCTGGGGTAACATAGACCCACAACTATACAGTAACTAACTTAACCCATCCATAAGCGCTATAAGTTTCAATAGATGGATTATGACATCAATACATGGATTAAGTTATATATATAGTTTAAACACCATAGAGGATTCTCACCAACTGGTCCTTATAACTCGTGGACACCCCACCACTATTTCCTCGACAGACACCTGGAGCTACTTCTACCACCTTCGACAAGCTCGATGCATCCTGCCGTCGCAGGTTGCTTCATTGTAGCTGGTGTACTTGATTGGCAATTGGTATATCAATTGTCAATGGTAAGTGTGCATATATATATATATACATACATACACTGTGTATACATATATATATATATGTATATAATGTATGTGTATATATATATATACATATTATTGGCAACTGGAAGACACTGGATGATACTGGATGATATTGGATGATCTTGGCAATTTGCAACTGGTAATTCGTAGATGATGAAATCATCGTCAAGTTGCAAGGTTCTGCGAATGTGGATGTTAACAGACTGGCAGCTTCAACCCCCGGAGCTACGGATCAGCGAGCTATCACATTGTTCATTGGTTTCCCAATAATCTTCACATGAATATCATTGATTATATTCAAATCATTGTTCTGGCTTCATAACTCATCTATTCAATTTTGAACCATAGGTTTTTGACATGAATGTCATTAAATATTATATATATATAATTATGCTATGTATCAAATAACCAGGATGGCCATTTATAGTTAACATGACTTATGACATATAAACGTTATTAACGCGGCCAACAGATAGGCAATATATAAACGTTATTAACTATTAAAACGTTATTAACTATTAAAATAGCCAGGAGAATCATTATAGGATGCTCTGGGTCCAAATTATAGTTAGCCATATAGTGAAAATTATAGCCATTATAGGATAATCATGATAGCCAGTTATAGGATGCTATCCAAAATGGCTATCTATCATACCTCATCGATCCTATTTTGTTGCTGGATTCCACTGGTTCCACCCTCCCGGAACCACCGTCAGAGACACTCTCCTCCGCCGCGCAGCTCAAGAGGGTGAGCCGCGCGCCCGGCACCGGCCGGAAGCCGCCTCGGCTTCCGCTTGGAGCGGGGTTCGCCATGCAGCTTGGTTGGAGATTTCAGGGGATTTCATGGGATTAGAGTGAGAAATAGTGGGAACTATAGATGAAATGGAATAATCATGGGATTACAATGGAATTAACATGGAATTAATGGGATGCTGTGTGGGTTTAATGAAATCTAACCAACAACAATGGGAATATATTGGAAATATACTGGGATATAATAGCTTTTACCATATGGTAATTGAACAGCTTGCTATGAAAAATCATTAAAATTTATAGGTAACTAATGATAATAAATTAACAATTCATCTATTTCTTTGGGTCATTTTTCATAGCTATGTTGAATAACCAAAGAGTAAACGTATTATATGATGAAAACGGGAAAGTCATTGTGAGATTATCGACATAATACAATGTTATAAAATGTCAGAAGTAGGACTGATTTTATATGTCAGGTTACATTTTAGAACATATATCTACTATAATAACATATGTCAGGTTATATGTCCTGTTTATAAAATCAACAAAATACTACCCATGACGGATCCATGGTGCTGCTATATATGGTGTGCCATAGATCCCATCAATATACCCCACATGTTAGCAGCAACTGTTAGATCCGATCTTTTTGGCACCAAACATGCCTTGCTGTTGAACCCTGAAATCAAGGGGAACGACAAACGAAGGCAAGCTGTTGAACATACCAAGCCGTAGCATGAGCCAAATTCTACCACTATGTTAGCATAAATCACCATGTATTATATTTGTTTAGTACACCATATATATATATATATGTCTATATATCTTTTAAGTATGATATTAGACCATGCCAAACCAATCAGAACCACAAATCAAACCACAAATCCCCTACCTTAAAAGCTACCAAAAGCTATCCCCCACTTGTTACACGTTGCCTCCAGATCTTCGATGATCCGCATAGAGCACAAGCCTGTCAGGGGTGATCCAACAAATCTGTCCCAATGTACTGTTAATATATGGTTAATATATGGTTAATATCTGGTTATTATAGAGTTAATGATGGTTAATAAGTATATTTTCTGGTTGGTGGTTTTAATCATCTTGAAAAATATGAAAGTCAATGGGAAGGAGTATCCCATATATTGTGGAAAATAGAAAATATTTGAAACCACCAACCAGTTTTGTTTCTCGAAGCCAGAAATCTTTGTAACCAAAAAGAACTATAAGAAATGGACAATAGATGAATATAAGATAGACGCTGATATCTGATATTTGAAGAATAGACGAATATCTTCGGGTGAACTGGGACCCACCGAGGATAGAAATGGATGCATCGCTGGTAAGAACAAGACTGGATACCCCTGTGAAATGGGGAAGTGATCATGACCTGGTCCTGGGAAAAAATCCATGGTCAATCTGTGGTAGTCCGCACAAAATGACTATTTCTGCTGGTTATGGTTGTATACTTCATGATTGTTTTTTTGTTTATAGCAAAAGACTCAAAGATTCAACCAACTATCCAGGGTTGGGTTCATGAATCATTCTATTAATTTCATTTCCAGGTGCTTAATTCACCATATGTATATATATATATATATATCATTATCCAATTTGGGGAATGTTTCCATGGCTCTCTCCATCCAAAAAAAATTCGCCATCCGGATCTCTCGACACCCGCAACGGGCCCCGAAGGGCACCAGTACTCGCTGGCGATCAGCAAATCCAACAACTGCACGCGAGTCCTCCAGAACTCCAACGTCGTTTGCCTCGGAGAAAAAAATCGCTGTGGCTTTTTGAACCGGGAAGATCTGGTGGATTTTTTGAGAAAAATCCATGGGTAAATGATGGGTAAATATAAGCAAAAACAACTATATGATATTGGGGTCCAGAACATGGGAAGTATACCCGAAAAATATGCCATGAGAACATGATCATGAACCCATGTATTATTTGAGTGTATTTGGGCTATCCTATCTTTTGATCTGGGTGAGTTTAGGTGACATGTTCAGCCTTCAGTAGCTCTTGAGGATCCTCAAACTAGTCAGCGAGTTGCGACCTCCCAAAAAATGGAATGGTTTGAAATCCCAAAGGAACTGCCCTCCTAACATAGACCCTGCCATTTATAGATAACTAGGTTCCACTCAAAATATTGCCTCTTTTCAGGGTCTATTTTTGTTAATTTATCCATCATATCCAATTTTTTACAACAAAAAAAAGCTGAACATCGCGAGTTTCCAGTGGTTTCAGCCAGATAAATTGACCACAAAATCACTGCGGGGTACCTCGCCCCAAAACCCCAGCCACCCAGCCACCTCAATGGCTCGCCCCAGGTGAACACGGTTCCTGGTCGCTGCGTCGCTACCGTCGTCACGTGGTCCCCAGGGTCCCCAGTTTCTGACCCGGCTATGGTCGCTAATAGCTGGTGTTTATGGGGACCAGTATATTGATACACATATGGATATATATGGGGACCAGTATATATTGTATATATATATGTCATATGGTCATATATACACATATGGATGTTCACCCAGCCCAATTGTTTCATTTTATCGAACTAGTTATAGTTGTATCATTGAGGTGCGGTCAACAAACTGCGGTCAGCACCGCAGAGAACCTGAAGTACGAAGCAATTTCCAGGTGTCTAGTTGAGAATGATCAAAGGATTTTCTTCCAAAGCTAAGGTAAGTTTTTTTGAGATTTCATGTTTGTTTTTGAGGCATGTCTTGGGTGCGATATCAGAAGCTATAGGCTGTGAGAACTGACCGAGGGAAAGATAGACCTCTGACCTCCGGGAGTACAGATTGATTGCTCTCGTTTTGTGTTGAACAACGCCAACTGGTTGGTGGTTGCTGCTAACCCCTCTGAAAAATGATGGACTGAGTAACAGTTGGGATGATTATTCCATTCCCAATTCATATGGAAAGTCATTCAAAATTCCATAGTTCCAGTCACCACCAGCCAGATATATTAATCATTGATTATCATTCTCAACCATCATTATCCACTATTAACCACTATTAACCACTATTAATATAGATTATCCCATTATTAACCCTAACTTAACCGGGCACCGTTAAAATCCTCCGGGTGCCAGCCGAGCATCGCAAGGATTGACATCGCTTGTCATCCAAAGCATCCAACAGGGAAGGCCTCAGCCGATGGTCGGCGCGCCGGTGATCATGGCATGGCTGTAACCATGGCATGACCCCCCCGGTATTGTTGGGCTATAACAGGCTATAACCCCTATAACTATGGTTCTATATTATATATATGTATATTATAGATATATATATATATAAAAACTTGTAACTGCTTTTGTGCACCACCAAAGTTCTTAATTCTTTCCGACATCAATCTTGCAAGCCTTGCGGCTGCGAGTTCTATATCCCCATTGCTGGACAATGGGCCCAGATATTTGATGGCTCAATCCTGAGTTACGGAGATCATATCCTCATTGGGTGTAGCCCTTAATCATCATCGCCAGTTCAGTCATCAAGGGCTACACCACCCAAAATTGATGGTTAGTGTATCCCCATGTTGTATCCCCATATGTTTTTTCATGGTTGAAAACTGCTGAAAGTTACAGTCAATGGAGTAGACCGGAAACCATGCTGAACTATGTTGAACTCAATTACCCCCAAACGTAGAGGTGATTCCTACAGACTTTCCCTTGAAACTAATGGAACTCCAGAAACTCATTTCATAGATTAAAATCAGCTTGAATTCACATCTGGTTGGTGGTTTCAACCCCTCTACAAAATATGAAAGTCAGTTGGGATGATGACATTCCCAATATATGGAAAAATAAAACATGTTCCAAACCACCAACCAAACATGTTTGTTGCTTAATCTACCCAATCTCCCCACTATATATTTATGGTTGTTACAAAAGCGAGGCCCTGCAGTTATAAGTTGGTTTATAAACACCATTAACTCTAACGTAGTAAACCCAATCATAAACCATCTACAATATCACCACAAATGGAAGGTTACCATTAATCGGTGTACCACATTAGTTTTATTCCCCGTAAACCCAAACGTTAACTAAGTATAATGCAACTTAACTATCATAAATAGATCAGTTATACATCCCATTAGATCCACATGTTTCTTGGTTCACATTGATTAAAAAAAACAACATTTTTTTGACCTCAATATCATGAATTTCCGAGGATATGTCCAATATTATCCATTAATCCTCTATCAATCCTTCATCATGAACATATCATCTAGTAACTAGTATATTGGTTCAACGTCATCTTAGCTATCATAAATCAGTTATACATCCCATGAAATAGCCATGTATCTTGTTGAACCGAACTCGTACAGAATCACTTGGCTCGCAGACACGATTCCGGCCACCGTGATGTTGCGCTCGCTGATGGCACGGGCCACCTTCAGAAACATGGCTCGCTTAATGGGGATTGATGGTTGATGTATGGAATCGCTAAGTTGGTAAATGGTTACTATGTTTTTACTTACTGTTGGGTTTATGGGAGGAAATCACCCAACATATTGTAATATAGTTAGATGGGGTATGGGATGAAATCACCCAACATGGCCCAACTCTAGGGGCAGCACCTTGAATAAATTCGAGGTTTCCAAAGTCATGGGGATACCCCCAGTTCTCATCCATTTCGAGATGGATGTTCCAATATAAACCATCCATTCCTTACTGGTGCGTTCTACGTAGGGAATGGATGGGTTGCTGGGGGTTGCTGGGGGTTGCTGGGATGATTATTACTAGTGACGACTGGGATCATTCCCTCATTCCCTATACGTTTAGCAGCAGTAAGTAATGGTTCATGACATTTCGTAACTATAGCTTCCCTGTTTCTTATGGATGTACTTTCAATTTCGTAAAAACTAAGCACATCATTACAGATTTTTAGGGTACCTCCATTTACAGAACCCCCCAAAAAAATCACACGTGGCACATGGCGCACCTCGTTGACCCCGTGCCGCGACAGCATCACGAGACAGGCACCACAGGACCAAGCGAGGTCCATCATGCCATGGCCTAGGGATACAAAAGACCATGGAAAAAATCGCCGACTTTTTATAGCTGGGTATTACCAAAAAACGATGGAAAGATCCACACATGGAAATCATGGGTAAATTTAGTAAATCAACGAACTTGAAGGACTGGGCCATGGCTTCAAGTTCGCAAAGTCTAAACGTTTACCATTGGTAGTAATCAGCATGTTATAGCTAACTATCTAACTATGGCCATGGCTTCAAGTTCGCGAACTACAACAAATTACCAATGGGTAGTAAAACAAGCAACAAACAAATGAGGTATAGGACCTGATAGGATTGTTGATCTAAGCTGGATATGTTGGATATCCAAAAGATATGTTCCCATCGGTATATCTGCCATCCCGGTTCTTTGTCCATGCATACTGTATAGATATCAACCAACTTTTCCATTGTTTGGGCGTCCCTTCGTTATAACTCAGAAGTCCAACAATGGCTTCAAACAATTTCAAACATCTTGGTAGCGTCGGAACATATCATACTCAATGGCCCCCCCAGATATAAGTTGGTTTATAACTTATAAACCCATCTAAATATAGTGATGAGATGTTATTTGCGTATCATACACGTTATGAAATAGTTATTTGCACCAACTTTGCTAACCATTTTTGGCCCCATCCCCTATGGATCTTGAGTTTTAGATCTCCCGTGGCAACGGAAAATCCAACCCAAAATGGATGTTTTCAATGGGAAAACCATAGGAAAACCATAGGAAAACCATCGGAACACCATAGGAACACCATAGGAAAATGGAGGTTTACCCTCTGGTAAACATACAAAAAGCTATTGAACATGGCCCAGTCGAAATAGTGGATTTACCCAGCTAGAAAATGGTGGATCTTTCCATAGTTACGTTAGTTTACCAGAGGGTATCTGGATATAAACAGAGAAAAAAAAATGTCTGTGTGAGTTCCTCGGATGATATATTGCACACCCAAAATATTTACAGAGTTAAATTGTACAAAAGGAGACCTGCTAGCTATATACAAACATAATGGTTAACATGCCTCGAAATCTTTTCTATTCTGGAGGAAACCAGGGAGGTTGCTTTGAGGGTGGAAATTGAAATCACAGAAAGTGGCCACTTGCGGCCACTTGCGGCCACTTGCTGGGAACTGTCTGGGGCGGCCACTTGCGACCACTTGCGACCACTTGCGGCCACTCGCTTGGAGCGGCCACTTGCGGCCACTTGCGGCCACTCACGTGGAGCGGCCACTTGCAGCCACTTGCGGCCACTCGAGTGGCTGCGAGTGGCTGCGAGTGGCTGCGTGCTGGTAGAAAAACATGGCAGAGTTGGCATCTTGAAAAAAATCGGTTTTGCTGGAAAAGCGTTTTTTTCAAGTTTGGAGGTTGGATAGGTAGGATTTTATCGTGCCTCACGAAACCATGTGGCAAACCATATGCCACCCATGTCTTCCATAGCGTGGGGAAGATCTTGGGGCGTAGCATCAACGGTGGTACAATGGTAGAAAATTAAAAGGAAGATCTTGGAGAATAGCTCCAATGATGGTGCAATGTTGGAAAGTCGAAGGGAAGATCTTTGAGCGTAGCAAAATGACGGTAAAATGTTGGAAATGGAAAAGATATCCCGAGGAGAAGATCTCAGAGCGTAGCGTCAAGTATGTTAGAAAGTTGAAGAGAAGATCTTAGAGCGTAGTGTCAGTGATGGTATAATGTTTGAAAGTTGATGAAGAGAACACCTTAGACGGTCCATGATGCTAAAAAGATGAAAGAAAAATGTTACAGCATCAACGCAGTACTATGTAAGAAAATCAAAGAGAAGATCTAAGAGCGTAGCAACAACTTTGCTAGAAACTTGAAGGGTAGCAGCTAGCATGAATCAGCGTAGAATGTGAGAAAATTCAAGAGAAGATCTTAGACCGTAGAATCACTCATGGTAGAATGTTTGGAGTATAGCATCAATGATGACGAAATGTTTGAAAGCTGATTAGGTCTTAGAGCGTGGCATGTTAGAAAATACAAGAAAAAACCTCGGCATGTAGCGTCAATGATAATAGAAAGGTGAAGAGAAGATCCAAGAACGTAGCATCAATGATGTTACTGTAGAAAATTGAAAAGGAGATCGTCGAGCTAAGGGTCAGTGATGTTCAACACTTGAAAAGAAGATCTTAGAGCGCAGCATTGATGATGTCAGAACATGGAAAAGAAGATCTTAGAGAGTCGCATCAATGATTTTGGAAAATTTGAAGAGAAGATCTTGGCGCGTAGCATCACTGATGTTTCAAATTTGAAGTAAAAATCTTGGAACGTAGCTTCAAGTATGAGGACAGTTGAAGAGAATATCTTAGAGCGTAGCATCGAACATGTTTGAAAACTGAAGAGAAGTGCTTAGAGCGTAGCATCAATGATGGTACAATGGGAGAAACATGGAAATCCAATCGAAAAACATAGCATCAATGCGCGTAGAATGTGAGAAAAAAAACAAAAGAAATCTTAGAGCGCAGCATCGATGATGTCTGAAAAGTGAAGAGAGTATCTGAAAGCGTACAATGTTGGACAGTTGAGAAGATCTAGAATGGCTGATGTTGGAAACTTGAAGAGAAGATCTTTGAGCGTGGCATCAATGATAGTAGAAAATTGAAGATCAGTTGCAGTTTGGAGATTGAAGAGAAGATCTTAGGGCGTAGCATCAATGATGGTAGAAGCTTGGAAGAATGATGCGCAGATCTTGGAGCGTAGCATCAATGATGGTAGAGTATTTGCAACTTGGGTAGATCTTAGAGCGTAGCAGTAACCAGTTAGAAGCCTAAGGAGAAGCTGTTGGGTAGTAGCATCAATGCATATGTAAAACATGCAGAAGGTCTCAGAGCATATCAGAGCGTAGCATCAAATAATGTTAGAAACTCTTTTCCCCGGTGCGTTACTTCTTTCCTTTCGTTTAAAGCTTCCCTTCCATTTCCTACAGCGTTCCTTTCGTTTCAACTCTTCCCGTCCATTTGATACTTCCATTCTTTCGTTTCAACACTCCCATCCCGTTCATGTACTTCTTCCTTTCGTTTCAAGCCGTTCATGCGGTTACGTCCTTCCACTCGTCTCAATTCCTATACAATCCTTTCGGTTACATGTTTTATTGTAACTAGCCTATTTCGTTTGTTACTTCCTTCTTTAAGTTTCAACACTCCCCCACTTTAGTTACTTCCTTCCTTTCGTTTCAACTCCTTCCTTCCGTTTGCTGTCAAGTCGTTCATTTCGTTACGTCCGTCCTTACGTTTCACCTCGTTTATAAACCCCCTTCGTTACTTCTTCCCCTTCGTTTCACCTCTCACGCCTCCTACAGTCTGTTCGTTACTTTAATTCTTTCGTCGATTCGTTGCAACTCTTTCCTTTCATTCCTTATATACTTCCTCCCTTTCGTTTCAACTCTACCCTTCCGTTCGGCCGTTCCTTTAGTTTCAACTCTTTCCTTTCATTCGTTACTGTCTTCCTTTCGTTTCAACTCTCTCCTTTCATTCGTTACTTCATTCCTTTCGTTTCAACTCTGACATCCCGTTCCTTACTGACTTACTGCTTCCCTTCGTTTCAAGTCGTTCATTGCTGGCCGTGGTCCAAGACATTTCCTACTTGGATGATTAGAACAAAAGCATTCAACCTAACTATGATAAAATTCATCTCTCCCCTTCGGCTGAAAAACATGATACGGATCGAACCAAAAGTGCTGGAAATCTGGTGAAGCAGTGCCAAAGGTTTGCTGTACACAGGCGGTAAACAGTGGTAAACACCGGGAAATTAACCAGCATCCGCGAAAAAAATGGTACGAATCAAAAATTTACCAACACCCACGGTAAAAGCGATAAAGTTCGAAAAAAATACGTCTTTCCTTTCTTCCCTGTAGGGGGCACAAGCGTATACCCGGTCGACAAACAACAGCCGCGAACCGGCCGAACCAAACTGATTTTAGCTGTTTCCGCTTTCAATTTTTTCTTTCCGTTCATTGTGTCTTTCCTTTCGTTTGAACTCAATGTTTCCTTTCCGTTCATTGCCTCCTTCCTTTCGTTTCGCCTCTTCCTTTCCATGCGTTACTTCTGTCCTTTCGTTCCATGTCTTATATTCCGTTCGTTACTTCTCCCCATTCGTTTCAACTCTTCGTGTCGTTTCAACTCTTCGTTTCCGTTCATTGCGTCTTTCCTTTCGCTTCACCTTTCCCCTACTATGCGTTACTTCCGTCCGCTCGTTTCAAGTCTTATATCCCGTTCGTTTCTTCTTCCCTTTCGTTTCAACTCTTCCCTGCCGTTTGCTCCGTCCTTCCTTCTGATTTAATTCTTCCTGTGTCGTCTCAACTTTTCCTTTCCGTTCGCTGCGTCCTTTCTTTCATTTCAAGTCTCCTCTTCCATTTAAATACTTCCTTTCTTTCGTATTAACTCTTATGTCCTGTTCGTTTCGTTTTTCCTTCCGGTTCAACTCTTCCTTTCTATTCGTTGCGTCTGTGCCTTCGTATCAACTCTTCTGTCTTGCTCGTTTAGCTCTTCCTTTCCTTTCAATTCGTCCATTTCGTTGCGTCCATCCTTTCGTTTCAACTCTTCCCTCCTATTTGTTATTTCTTTCCTTTCGTTTCAACTCTTCCCTCCTATTTGTTATTTCTTTCCTTTCGTTTCAACTCTCACCTCACATTTCACAGAAAACTTGAAAAAATGCTGTTCGCGAGAAAAGCATTTTTTCTCAAGTTTTCATGGGTGTGGCCATTCGGGCTGGTATTTGCCGTCCAAGCAACCACTTGCGGCCACTTGCGGCCACTTGCCCCAGCGGCCACTTGCGGCCACTTGCGGCCACTTGCCCCAGCGGCCACTTGCGGCCACTTGCGGCCACTTGCGGCCACTTGCGGCCACTTGCGGCCACTCGAGTGGCTGCAAGTGGCTGCAAGTGGCTGCAAGTGGCTGCAAATGATGCAAATAATGCAAGTGACGCTGCTTTGGAAATTTCAAATCCTACCGGTTGAGCAACCGGCCAGTTGCGGCCACTTGCAGCCACTCGAGTGGCTGCAAGTGGCTGCAAGTGGCTGCTTTTTTGAATTTCAAATACCGCGCGTTTTGCGACCTCAATGAAATCTTTTCTATTCTGGAGGTTCCTGTACAGTACACTAGCTGAAGAAAGGTACCATATTTTGCAACAATATGCAAGTTTGCTAAAGGACATATACCCAAGCACTGAGACTTTGGTACGTGGTAAATAGAATGGGGAGATCAAAGACCTACAATTTGGGGAAACTGGGTTTGTAGCTGGTGATTGACGAACCCATCCTAGAATAAATGCTCCTCAGTCGGGTTTCAACTGGTTTTTCAACGTTTCAGTCCGCACCATGATACAAGGTGCTGTCTCCTAGTTATAAGTATGTCAAAAACAAACAACTATTTCTTAATCATCGCCGGAAAACCCTGGTTAAATATGAGCTATGTGTAAACCACCAACTTAGCTAAGAAAAAAAAAAATCACCTATCAATTACCCGTGTTTATTGATTAAACATGGCTAAACCTTTTTCTATTGGCTACACATCACCTTATGGATGGGGGTTCAACAAATGCCCATGACGCTTACGGTGCCATGGTTATGTTCCATGGTTAATTTAACCAACAGAGTCATGGGATTCAATGGAAATATTATGGGAATAACATGGGATATTATGATATACTAAGAGATATAATGGGGATAATATTGGAAAATATATATTCTATAATATATAGGATAGTATTGGGCAACGCTGGGATGTAAGCATCACCAATAGGGATCATAAGGGGATTTATCATCAACAATGGGAGTGTTCACATGGGATCAGTGGTGGGTGTTCATCCATCAATGGGAATCCTTATGATGGGTGTGCATGAATCTCTACTTGTGGGCCAATCACATGCCTCCAAAACTGGCAATTACACAAGTTTTGACCATGGCACACAGGCCATCACCTCTGAGCTTTATCAGCAATTATAAGTGTATTGGCGTATTGCAAACGTATCTCAATCTCAAAATGCTCAACGCCATCATAGTCATCCTACAATTCTGACCATAGATGGAAAATCAGCCCTTTTAGATAGTTTTAGTAGGTAAATTTTCACTATTTTCGACTGGGCCATTTTCAATAGCCATGTGAGTTTACCAGAGGCTTACAGTAATATCACCATCACAGTCCCAGCCACAAGCAGCCCCCCAAAAGGCAGATGTATGGTGTAGAATCCGATCCTGCCGGGGAATAGCCTCTGGTTATGTCAACAGTTTGCTATTGAGAATGGCTGAAAACCATAGGAAACCATAGGAAAACCATAGGAAAATGGTTGATTTATCCACGAAATCCCATGATTTCCATGGTGATGTTCCATGGTTTTTCGTATGTTTACCAGAGAGTATCATGGAATATCCATACAGAAAGGGGATATTTTTTGGGAACGGCGCATATTTGTGGTGACTCAAATGTGATTGAATGGACATGTCATGGGAATATAAGAAGATTCGACTAGGGATATTTTGAGTGGGGATAAGATGAGATACCCTCTGGTAAAGATACAAAAAACTACGGAAAATCGCCGTTTTATAGCTGGGTATACAAAAAACTATGGAACATATCCATGTTTAATGGGTAAATTGAGTAAATCAACGAACTTTCGACTGGGCCATGGCTTCAAGTTCGCTAATAGTTCTGTTAGTTTGAGGGTATCTCATGGCATCGATGAACAATCAAATAATATCAGAACTGGATATGATAATATATAATCATAGATATAGTAAGTAGATATATGATATATACATATAGTAGATATATGATTGTAAATATATGATATATGATATAAATGAGAATCCCAGTATGATATATGAACATAGATAATGGATGAATATATATATAATATAATGTATAGATATTGATATAGTAGATATCAGAATAAACTAGCTAAATTTAGATAAAGTATCACCATCTCACAATTTCCCAGTTTCAGCAGCTGCTTGCCTACATGGCATCTCTGTGTATACTGCAATCTTTAGACTCTACCTTCTCTGACCCAGATAAAATGCAAAAGTGGCCCATCCCCAATTCTATTGATTGGACATCATATTCTATCGACATTTGGATGATCCAACTCTGAAATCTAGGCTAGATGTTATCAAAAAAACAAGTATGCCTTAAAATGATATAATAACTTACACATCACAAACAACTGAGATATGCTGCCCCAAAATTAAAAAAAAAACAAAATGGCTGTGTAAAACTTTCACATCTAGGGAAAGTATGGGAAAGTCTGATTCAGTTCCCATCCAAGGTTCCTCCAGATAAGTGACATACTTTCACAGTCCATGGATTGTGATCATCTCATTTGTGACAAAGGTAGGCTTGCAACATCGGAAATATACTACCCTCTGGTAAATTAACAGTTCGCGAACTTGAACATGGCCATAGTTAAATAGTTACGATTTGCCCATTAAAATTCATGGATCTTTCCATAGTTTTTGTATCTTTACCAGAGGGTATCTCATCTCATCCCCACTGAAAATATCCCCTTTCTGTATGGATATTCCATGATACCCTCTGGTAAACATACAAAAAACGATGGAACATCACCATGGCATTCACGGGTAAATCAACCATTTTCCTATGGTTTTCCTATGGTTTTACATCGGAAATATACATAAATCTGGGTAAATTATAATAATTCACTAACCTGAATTGTTCGGCCATAAAAGGGGATGATTTCCCTAACATCCACAATGATTTCCAGGGCTCGGGAGAACAGGGCTCGGTCGTGATGAAATTTACCCAGATAAATATACCAAATTTATGGTCAGCCGTATGGAATCCCCAACAGCCAGGTAACCTCCTTGAATCCCCTGGTGGCGATTCACCCTGGTGAGAAGTTCGGAAGAATGGCGTAACTCACAGCTATAAATGGCCCTTGAACTTTGCTTTTTAATTAAGAACTAAGAGGATTATGACTGAATCCCCACGAAAAAAATGCTTCATCCCTGAAAATAAAGTCCTTAAATCGTTAGATCCCCTAGAAATGATGATGAAATCAATGAAATCCCCACGAAATCAGCAAAAACACACCGGGGCACATCGGGTCATTGTCACCGCCTCACAGCTTAAGGCTTGAAAGTCTGCATAGGTCCGTAGCTCGTGCAGGGCCATTCCTGTGAACGCTTCGTGGGGTAGTGGGGATGGGTCGAGATACCGATGGCATAGCCGATTGTTTTTTTTTGGGGGGTTTTTGAACAGGACCTGTTCTGAGAATTTTGCAATTCAACCAAGGATCACCCAAGGACCATAGCTGAGAACATTCAAGGTACCAGGGATTTGACTCATCTAAGGGTCGCTTGGGCTCATCTCACATGGCTTTCTGAAGCGAAATGGCGTAGTTATGGCACACACACATGGCAGTTTTAATAGGTAGGGAAAAGATGGGGAAAGGATGATTGACAATAGATCTGGTTTTGTACTAGCCTATATTGGACAAAACCATCAAATGGTTGGTCAACTCCCTATTTGTTGGTTGTACCCCCAATTAATGCCATAAACAATCCGCGTCAACTGGTGTCGGTTGAATCCCCTATATCTTTTCACGTATCGCAATTATTGTTGGTTTACGCTGCTTAGAATGGTATATAAGATTATATTATATAGGTTATATAAGGTTATGTATTGTTATATAGTGTTTTATAATATAATGTTTTTTTTGTTATATATTGTTCTATAAAATTGTATAACTTATATAAACGATTTATTAATGTTATAAAATGATTCAACTGATAACTAATGTTACATAACTAATGTTATATATCCATAAATAACTAAGTCAAATAGATAAATTGTCAAAACATATATATATATAATTATATACACATCATTAAAGCTATGAAAACGAAGGCACCCATTACCTGCCACGTGGCACTTCTCCGTACCAAGCGTCTGTGCGTTTGCACCACGCATTTCGAGGCGGCCGTTGTGCCGCCTGCAGGGACCCGTGAAACTGGTGAACGGTAGGGCCTGTAGGGACTGGAATGGGATTCTGATTCAATAGATGTTTTATAACTGGTTGGTGGTTTCAACCAATCTGAAAAATATGAAAGTCAGTTGGGATGATGACAATCCCAATATATGGAAAGTCATAAAAGCCATGTCCCAAACCACCAACCAGTTTTTTTTTTGGGTTTTATATGTTTTTATCATTTGATATTTTTTTACAGATCATTCTCCCAGTACGAATCGCACATCTTGAAACTCCACAACTCCACTAGCGCACCGGTGTAGACCAAATATACGGCGTCATCCAGGTGCCGACGAGGGCGTTCGACAAAGCACTCCTCGCCATGGATGGAGAATTTGGTTGCGATCAAATGGCTGTGTTTGATACAAAAAAAAATAGGGGACCTACTTCTATGTTACTTATATGTTGATATTATGTTGAATGATATATGTTGTATTTCTGTGTGTATTTATGTAGGCTATAAATTCTACGGTTCTTCATCGGTTTTGGGATCCAGTACATCACCTGGTTTGATCAAACATGTTGATCAAGAAAACTTGAGCAATGATAAATTTAGAATAACAGTCAGTTTTGCGAAAACATAAACATTTAGAATTTAATATTGATTCGAAAGTACAATTTCATCAATCTTAGCAGTTTGGCTTAGTATACTACAATATAACCATCAACCAGCATTTTCCCAGGACTGAAGCTACACACGTTTGGGGTGTGGCCCAGCTTCACAAGTAGAGTGCAGCACCATAGGACACGAAAACATCTGGGTCACTGTGCAACCATGTCCAACCCAGAACATCGATTGGCTCATATTCGATAATTTTGACTGATTTTCTCATGCATTAAACAGCAAACATTTCAACCACCAATGATATCCTCCTCTTTCACTGGTCCGAACATCCCACCTGTATCGCTGTATCGAGCACAACAAAAAAACTCGAGATCAATCTTAGATACCCTGCCCAAAACATGTTTGCTAGCTGGGTGGTATATTCATTCTGTTCACATTCTGATTCATGGCAACAAAAATTCACCTTGAACCTACCGAACCAAGGTTTATACAAGGTAAGGCCCCCCAGCGACACTAGTTACTAGTTGTTTTATAAACCCAATTACAGTATCTACGTAGTTCATTATATCCCCCCAACTCAACCCAGACGTCACCTAAGACGTCAGCCAAGTTACAAGTCACCATTAACTCCTAGGGGTTAGTTCTATCAATTATAAGCGGGTTTATAAACCCCATTAACTATAGTTATATGACACAAAAATATAGTTTAAATATAATATAATATATATATATATGTATATGTATGTATCATATACCCTCCATAGTTTTCCATGAATTGTCCAATTTTTTTCCCCCATATCTCGCCATATTTTTCCCAACGGTTCCCAAGTCAGGCCTCAGTGCGGAGCAAATCCTCGACATAGGCCACCGCCGACGTCGTGAACCTAGCATGAAACACATGGAAAATGGTGGCATTTATTGGGATTTACTGGTGTTTATTAGCCATTTTACTGGCATTTATTGGGATTTACTGGTGTTTATTAGCCATTTTACTGGCATTTATTGGGATTTACTGGTGTTTATTAGCCATTTTACTGGCATTTATTGGGATTTACTTGTGTTTATTAGCCATTTTACTTGCATTTATTGGGATTTACTTGTGTTTATTAGCCATTTTACTGGCATTTATTGGGATTTACTGGTGTTTATTAGCAATTTTACTGGCATTTATTGGGATTTACTTGTGTTTATTAGCCATTTTACTGGCATTTATTGGGATTTACTTGTGTTTATTAGCCATTTTAGTGGCATTTATTGGGATTTACTGGTGTTTATTAGCAATTTTACTGGCATTTATTGGGATTTACTGGTGTTTATTAGCCATTTTACTGGCATTTATTGGGATTTACTGGTGTTTATTAGCCATTTTATTGGCATTTATTGGGATTTACTGGTGTTTATTAGCCATTTTACTGGCATTTATTGGGATTTACTGGTGTTTATTAGCCATTTTACTGGCATTTATTGGGATTTACTGGTGTTTATTAGCCATTTTACTGGCATTTATTGGGATTTACTGGTGTTTATTAGCCATTTTACTGGCATTTATTGGGATTTACTGGTGTTTATTGGCAATTTTACTGGCATTTATTGGGATTTACTGGTGTTTATTGGGATTTTCCATGGTTTATTGGGATTTACTGGTGTTTATTGGGATTTTCCATGGTTTATTGGGATTTACTGGTAGTTGTTGGGATTTATTCAGATTTATTTGGAGTTTTTGGGACTGATTCGGACCTATTGGGATCTGTTGGGAATTGGGGTCCATTGGGGATTTAACAATCCAACATTGTGCTTCGTTTTGAACAGAGGCTGCACATATTGAATGCTGATGATCATAGAAACTGCAAGAAATGATGATTGAAACATCATGAGTCATGAGATTATCAGAATATCATCCCATGTTGGTGCTTCACCATGGTACTTTGGTGCTGAGGCGCAACGACGGGACGGCTGCACTTCGTTCGAGGACCAATAGCCTCGGGGTGCACTTGGGGTTACAATAACCATGGGACTCACCCAACAAACATTATGATTCAATAAGTTTAATGAGAAAAATGGACATATAATCCTAAGAAGGGATAGAACATGATAGAACTAGGGGGATAAATTCTGCGGTGAAATTATCATGAATCAATTTATGATTTGATTTTCCATCATGTCCAATTATCATTGAGATTTCTACCCTTTTGATTCCTTTTGCACCGTTCTTGTCAGGTAAAATGGGGCTCCCGCAACAGGTGGGTCGCCCGTATCCGGAAACAAAGAGGCAGCTCATCGATTCTACTCAACCATTCAACCATGGGTTTTATCTGTCTCAGAAAATAGGCCACCCCGAAAAGAATACTGGTTGGTGGTTTTAACCATCTTGAAAAATATTAGTCAGTTGGGATTAGTATTACCAATTATATAATATGGAAAGTCATAAAATTCATGTTCCAAACCACCAACCAGAATATCATTTTCATGTTAAAACCACAGTTTCTCAATTTTATGTTCCCATAGTTTCCCACTTTCCCCATTTAAAAGATGGGATACTCTCGGGTAATTTAACATAGCTATTGAACATGGTCATTTCGTTCGTTGATTTAGCCATTAAAAACGACCATTTTGCATATTATGTTAAATTAACAGAGGGTACAACTGGAGGATTCATATATTTTCCCAACATTTCCAACTTTTTTTGTGGGATATCCCGATGTCATTTTCACCAACGGATTGGACACCAGCCAAGGGCGGGCTGAAAACCTCGGTTGATGCTCGGCCATCGCTTCGCAGTTCCGCCTCTCCTGGAACTGGGCCATGGGTACCATCCAATTTGGCAGGGAACAAACTCACCCATCGATGATCGGAAGAACTTGGGGATGATCCCCATATGCTCCATGGTGCTGGTATGTTTACCTACATTTGCCCGAACAAAATCACCCAGTTTTGTAGGTAAATATACCAGCACCATGGAGCATATGGAACTTTCATACGTTGATTTATCAACCTCCATCACCACCTTCGATCCTCATCGTCTCCACCCAGGTCGCAGCTCAAAGCGAGCCTGGCCATGGACGTTGCGATTTTTCGGAGAAAAACATCAGAGCAGAGTTTCACCCAGTTTTCACACTTGATTTTTACGATTGATTTCTCAGTTTGTGACCCTTCTATAGTTTCTCCATATTATTCATTAAAGAGTTCGTAGACTTTAGGAGGATTCTGCTGTCCAATATCAGATATGGTTTTAAGATGTTTTAAGAAAAATAATAAATGTGCCTTTGTTGGATTTGATGGTCCAGAAAATCCTTACCCTCTGGTAATTTAACATGGCTATTGAAAATGGTGATTTAGTTCGTGGATTTACCCATTGAAAATGGTGGATCTTTCCATAGCTATGTTAGTTTACCAGAGGGTAAACCTCCATTTTCCTATAGTTTTCCAATGGTTATACCACTGTCCCAGTTTACCAGAGGGTCATTAAATTTTATACCAGATAATTACTTAAAATCCAGCAACAAGTTGATTCATAGCTGGCACCACCAAAAGTAGCATTCCCCTACTGAAACAACGAAGACTTTTCCAATCGTCATCCCGATCATCCCAAACATCCCGAATTTTCCTATGAAATATGGGGGAAACCGCCTGTTTTTTTGTGCCCGAAATAACCTCGTCACGGTGGTTGCGGCTAACCCCTCTGAAAAATGATGGATTGAAAGTCAGTTGGGATGATTAAAGAAACCCAACTAAGATGGAAAGTCATAAAAACCATGTTCCACTATTGAGTATTATATCCCATTATATCCCATATGGAAAGTCATAAAATTCTATGGTTCCAAAGCACCAACCAGAAACCAATCCATTGACCCCAATTTTATGGCGAGCTACAAGGTCCCGAGTCGCATGGTCGCCAGTGAAGCAGCTAACCAATTGCAGTTGCGACGCATGAGCAGCGCCACCTTAGTGGGGATATGGCTGATACATTGGGACTGTGTATGTGATATATATAATGTATCTTTACATATAAATATATACCCCAAATGCATGTGGATAAATAAATAATATATGTATATACTCGAATTATATATCATATACTCTAATTAATTCAAATTATATATCATATAAACATACATATATTTGAATAAATTGGGATATGTTGATTTTGTTGGCTGGTATATTGAATATGGCGATTGATAAACTGCTAGCGGGAACAAAACATTGGACCGCATGGGGGATTTAATTGGGATATTCATTGTGGAGTTCATTCCCTAAAACTGGGTCTAAATGTGTTTTTCTTTTTTAGGGTAGGTACTTAGGTGAATGCACCATACTGGTACATAGATGATCTGGGTTGTATGGTAGTTGGAGACGCAAACATATGGTATGTAAGAAACAATTCACTCATTTTCCAGGAATATCTGAAAAAGAGGTGCCAAGACATTTGATGCTACATTTTGACAGCTCCTATCGATTATATCATAAATATCCATAAGCCCTAGGTATACAAGTTTCAACCTATGCACTACCTTGTATGAACATGTATGAAGTCTAGCTACCTCAAGATACCTGGAGTCAAGGCGATTTCTGACCTCAAACATGGTCAAACTCTGGGTCTGGGTGAGTACTGGTGCCCCTCTTGGCGTGAGGTTGGTTGATTTTCTATCGTTAAATATAACCAAGATACTCCATGTATGAGGGTTAATGTATTAGCCCAATTAATGTATTGCTGCTCAAACACTATACCGTCCTGTTATACCATGCTATGTACTGTAATCTTTCCAAGCATGCATGCACGCTCAACAACACGACCTTCGTCCCCGTGAAGGGTCGTTAGTGTCCGTCGCACCAGCGGCCCAGTCATAACGTTCACGCCACCTTCAGCACCCGTTTTTTGGTCACTGATTTGAGCGCGGCCATGCGAGACAACTCAGGTTGCCTAGCTGCTACAGGACTGTCTCTAAGTTGCCAAATAGCACGGGAATGTATGTTGAAAGCGCATGCCTCCATTATGGCTCTAGACTTGCCGATCCTTTGTGCCACCAGGACGTGCAATGTTTGTCCAGTGGTATATTTACCTACAAAACTGGGTGATTTTTACCAGTACATGTTGGTAAAAATTCCATACATGAAGCATTGGGTCAATCATATGACAAGTTTCTGGATGTTTCTGGGCTCCCGACAATTGGAGCATCTTGGCCTCTGTTTGCTGCGGGATGGGAGTCAAAATCCATGGGATATCAACGGAATCCAATCACCGTTTTTGATGATCAAATTACATCACAAAATCATCATCACATCCTGCATCAATCCTAACAAATCATCATTCTTAGTGAACAAAAAATACTTTAAAACAAATACATACCAGTTAAAGGTTCATGTCTCTCCACACAACCCCAGTTAACCTCGACACAGTTGCGCCATGCCCGCTGCGATACGCCGGGACGCCTGCCGGGCGAAACATCCTGGAATTGACACCGCGACTCAATGAGGATTTCATGGAATTTAAACCGAGAAAAGGTGGGAATTCAACTAATTCAACCAGCAAAAATTGGGAATTTCCGGATTAGTTCAGGGGTTGTACTAGGAATGGTGGCTATGAACTAATCCACGATGGGAATTCCCATGAACTCTGAGAGTTGACGTGATTTCCCATGTTTGGTGGTTTCGAATCCCAAATACCTCCTACTATTATATATTAGTATACATAATCATCTTTACACCAATATTAACATTAGTATATATATATTATAATAACAATAGTAATAATAATAATAAATAAATAATCATTACTAATAATAATAACAAATAATAATAATGATAAACAAAACAATAATAATAAATACTAACTGAATAGTAATAGTCATCATTGGTAGTCCCCGACAAAAAACATGTTTGCTGGTTATGGTTATTTTCTTTTTATAGCAAACAACTAAAGGATTAAACTAACTACCAAGGTTGGGGATGAATCAACATGATTGATTATATACTAATAACTAGCCATAATAACTATATACCTAAATGTATAACAATATAACAATATCTCTTATAATACCATTGCCAATGATTTGCAATATTTTTGATAGCTTGGCTTATATGAATACTGATCCCACATTTTTTCAATAATTAATACCAATATAAAATAATATAATCCAGGTAAGATACTCCCGGCAATATGTATATATGAATATATTCTTCAATACCAAACAAACAATGATCCTGATTGTGACAATTTAATCCTGATTTTTGATGCTTCCATTCCCGGCATTCCCCCACCTCCTGCAGCTGCCGATAGCTCATGACACATCCGTCGTCGTCCTTGACGTGGCAAGGGAATAACTTGGGAAAGTGGTGATTTAACCTGGGAAAGCGGTGATTTACCATGATTTAAGCATGACATCTGGTGGCTTTTGATGGTGATTTCATGGGATAATCCTCTTGGGTTTCTGGGATGAAATTGAAGTAAGGAACGGTTGTATATCTCAGTCACCAACGCTTCAGAATTGTTTGATGGTTGGAGCATGTGAGGTGTTAATCCCCCATTCTGACAATACTGTTCATGGTCAAACCCAATGTTTTATGGTGATAGCCATCATTTTTGAATTTCTAACATGTTCATTCTTGGAGGGTAGTATACCAAATCATCTTATATTCTACCCACTGTCTACCCACATGGTCTTGTCTAACATAGTGTGCCCCAAAAACTCCAGTTATTTATCAATAATCGGTGTTCCCCATCAAGTTAGCACAATTCTGGGGTCTTCCTTTTTCAGACAAACGCAAATTAGCAAGTGGATACTAACCACACGTAATATCAAAGAGATATATTTAGTGGATGCTATTACCATCTGGTTATTTAACATAGCCATGGAAAATCATCATTTTTAACAGGTAAACCATCTATTTCTATGGGCCATCTATACCATGGCGGTGTTAAACAACCAGAGGGTATCTTATACAACCCATATGCGGCGTTCTTGAAATGGGTGATCCCCAAAAACCTCCTCAAACAATGGGGGGTTCAGTACTAAAATGGTCCAATCTTAGAAAACCCTGCATATTTATATTCCCTTAGACTCCCAATGGTGACAATCTCCCAGATAATTTTGTTTCAAACATAATAAAGTAACCATCTATGTTATATCCATCTTTTATAATTAAAGTGTTATAAATCCTAACTTTCACCCATAATATTATATACATAATATCTGGTTGGTGGTTGACCTACCCCTCTGAAAAATATGAGTGAGTAACAGTTGGGATGATTATTCCATTCCCAATATATGAAATGGAAAATAAATTTCATGGTTCCAGTCACCACCAACCAGATATATTAATCATTGATTATCATTCTCAACCATCATTATCCACTATTAACCACTATTAATATAGATTATCCACTATAAATAATGGGAAAATCCACTATAAATAGCCATTTTCCATAGCTTTTTGTATGTTCACCAGAGGGTATTAACCACTATTAACCACTATTAACCACTATTAACCACTATTAACCACTATTAACCACTATTAACCATTAGTATCCATTAGTAACCACTATTAATATAGATTATCCCATTATTAACCCTAACTTCACCGACGAATGGCCGCACCCTTTGATCCGCACCAATCCGCACATCGCACCTCAACGGCCGGGCGCATGGGGAAGCGCTCCACCAATTCATCGAAGGCCTGGAGACCGTGGGGATCCAATCCATCTGAGCCCACGAAGCTATGGAAAATCACCATGGATCCATAGAAAAACCATAGGAAAACCATGGGAAAACCATAGGAAAACCATAGGAAAATGGAGGTTTACCCGGCCTGGTAAACGTTTACAGAACGAACTGGAAAGATCCACCATTTTTGATGGGTAAATCAACATAAATCAACTATTTTTATGGCCAACCTCAATAGCTATTTCAGTTTACCAGAGGGTACATCATGCCAAAACATGTTAAATCGTGGTAAAACATCATGTTGATAATCTATTTCTATGGGCCGTTCTCTATAGCTATGTTAAATGAACGGAGGGTAAATAGGATGGGAATAGAGCTGAATGCGGGCATGAAATGTAATGATTTGTTTGATATCGAACATTTTTGAGAGCCTGAAACTGCAGTATGGGGATCAAAAAAAGGATCATATATATATGGGAATATCATGCGGATACAACCACAATTTACAAACTGGTGCCCCCGTCCTTTCGTCCTTTATTAGTTGATTTTCTTACCCCATCTACTTCGATATATCTACCATAAATCTACCAGGTCGCCGCATCACAAGAACTAGAGGTTTTCTTTTCAACCCAAATACAGCTATCGTTCACCTATAGATGGGGCAACCGTGTTAAAAGGACTTTCATGTTCTGGGGATCCGATGGGGATATGATCAGAAGATCATCAATTGCGGCAAACATGCTGGCTATATCAGCATATATCAGCCTTTCTGTGCCAAACATAGTAACATAACCAACAACAATGCAACAAACATCCTATGGTTGTTAAAAATAACTGTGGGAAAACACAAACACACTATTTAAGTTTAAAGATGACTTATGATGACTTATGATGATGTTCGTTTAAGTCTTGCGAGGGTGACTTAGTCATCATAATCTATCTATAAATCGGACCATTGACCAAATGGTAAGCAAACATGGGGAGATCAGTTGATTAATGGGAAACAAACAAATAAAAGTGGCAATATGTTGGGATATAATGGAGATTCATGAATTCATTATCCAACTTGTCATCCCAACTTATGCTTTCCTACTGAAAAAGGTGCCCAACACGCTACGGGAGTACAAAGGAGTGGAGTGAGACGTCACTTTCTGCTACGTTGCCAGGAACTGTCCCTTACATTCCCAGTATCTGGCGACCCATCATCCCAAGAAAACGTCTAAAACTATTGGAACAAAACCATGGAATACTTATACAATCTTATATTTGTATATATTTGTGAATGTCCAATAAGTATAGGTAATGTGCTATAACTGATTGTAAAGGAACAAATACATGATTGTAGTGGTATTTTGGAACGGGTCATGGTATAGCTAATGTGGTATAAGTTAAGTAGTGATATTGGATATACAAGCAATTTCCTGCACATTCTCAACAATAACGATGTGTTTTCCCATTAGACATGGTGATTTTCCATATAAATCACCATTTTCCCATGGTTTTCCCATGGTTTTCCCATGGTTTTCCCATGATCTTCCCATGATCTTCCCATCCAAACATGGCTTTTCCCGCCTGATCGAGGCTCGCCACCTCTTGGCCCATTTCGACGTCCTGGCAGCGGTGAAGGTCCTGGAAGATCCATTGGTTTATCATGGATAAAATGGTTCATAAAATGGATAACATTAATGATAAACCAAATGATAATCCATATATGTTTTCCCTATGAACATATGGCCAGCGTTTTTTCCGGAAAACTACATCTAAGGTTTTGCTGTCGCGTCTGTTGCAGTTTTGGGACCTTAGGGTGTCGAACTTTGTTTGGCACCCTCCAGGGTGGTGCTCATTGTCCTGACAAGCCATCCATCATCAGAATCATGGTTGGTAAAATCATCCTGGTTACCTCAAAGATATATAATTGAGAGGTTAGGGAGCGATAGAGAAGGAATATGTCAGGAATGTGTCTATCCAATGTCTTCTGATATCTTCACTCTATGCTGTATGTTTCGTGAACACGTGTCTAGTCCTTTGTGCACGGTTTACCAGCCTTGTACTGTCACCCTTTGTCCAGAGACCCAAAATGGCCATGGCTGAGTCCTTACAGCTTGGTTGAGATTCTATTCAAATTTCCCCAAGCTATTAGCGGAAGCCGAGCAATCATGGTAAACACCCATCATCCTATATCATAGTTCAACTCCCATATTCTCATGTCTAGAATCTGATTAAATCCCATGAAAAATGACAAACTCATCATACTTCCGCCGTCAAACGCCGAACCGCCTCTTCAGCACGTGGACGCTTGGCGCTCGGCTCGATGGAAGCAGCCTCCGGCGAGGCTGCGGAAGGAATTCACCATATATTCACCAATGGGACTGAACCATCATCATTATGGTGAATATATGGTTATTATGGTGAATATATGGTGATTATGGTGAATATATGGTTATTATGGTGAATATATGGTTATTATGGTAAATATATGGTTATTATGGTGAATATATGGTTATTATGGTGAATATATGGTTATTATGGTGAATATATGGTTATTATGGTGAATATATGGTTATTATGGTGAATATATGGTTACTATGGTGAATATATGGTTAATATGGTGAGTATATGATGGTGAACATCATTATTAACAGTATATTAACCATCATTATAGCATTTTCGAGATCGATCAGATGACGGTTGATATACTGTTAATAATGGTTAATATATGGTTATTATATGGTTATCATTCAAAAGTTGGATTAAACAAATGCATTGTTGTTAAAGTATGATGCAAACATTTGGATTCCACTTAACTTAACGCCAAACAAGTGATTTAAATACACATGATAATAACCAGCAACAATGAAGAATAAAGGCTCTAATGCAAAGGAAAGTTGTAATAAAGTCTAAGCTGCTGGGAAGAATAATGAAGAATACTTATATATTTACCTCATATTTTTAGATTAGATTATGATATATTATGATATTCTCATATCTTCTCTATTGGTTCGTTTTATCATCACCCAGCCAAGGTGAACACTGCACCCGCCCCAGGAGGCCCAGGGCCTCCACAGACCGCTTCATGCGATCCTCTTCCCCAGTTCGGAAGTAACGCACGATGGAAACTGGGTGACTTCGTTTGGGTTTATGGAGGATATCTCTATATATGGGTTTGTCTGAAAATAGTGTACCCCTACACCCAATGGTTAATGATCATTATCGCTACTAAATGGCTATAATTGGGGGTATACCCCATTTTCAGACATACCTATATACACAGGCTGGGGCCCCAGTTCGTGAACGCAAAAAGTTGGTGCAGTTCTAACTATTTCATAACTTAAGTTGGTGTATGATACGCAAATAGCTATATATATATATATTTAGATGGGCTTATAAACCAACGTTCACATAACTGGGGGGGGCCCATCCTGCATGTATTATTGTATTATTATATATACATATGGTAGCCCAAAAAAATATATATCTTACTTTTTGTTGGATAATCGTGTACTGTACATTACAATGATTTTGACAGATTTTCAAACCATTAAATAGTAATGTTTTGGTCATTGACTTGATCGAGTGGGATGTAAGTGGCATCCAAAACATAAATTCAATTAAGAAACGCCAGGAAAACAAAAACAAAAAAGAAACAGCCCTTTCCTTGAGTATATTTGTTGTATGTTCAAAAACAAAATCAATCTTGGATTGCTTGGCTTTATCACGGAAAACAAAAAAACTGAGGAAAACAAACAAACAGCAAAACAAACAGAATCCCTGGCTGAAGTCAAAAGAAGTTTCTTTGTTTGTTTTCCTTGGGTTTTTTGTTCTGTTGATTTATACAGGTCAAAGTTGTTTCTTTCCTCAAATACTTTTTTTCCTTAAAGTTTGTTATTCCTATGTGTACAAGCAGCACACCACGCAAGCACATGTGTGCACCTTCTTGGCCGTTTGGAAAGCTACTAAAACCCTTGGGAAAAAAAAAACACGGCGAAGAAAAGAAGTTTCAAAATGTTTTTGTTTTCGGTCGGGGGCGCTCTAGCATATATACATATACATATGTACATTTACATATATACATTTACATATATACATATACATATACATATATATATATATGTAACATTGTATGTATATATATACACATATAACTAGAGATAACCATATGGGTAATGGTGACTTACAACTTGGTTAATTAGGGTTTCTGGATGTCATAATGGAAGATAGAGATGGCAGAATGATGGGGCAATACTGATGGGAGGGTCGTCATGTTACGTTGGGAAAGGGTAAATGCATGTAAATGCGCAAAAACTGAAGAGTGAATGGGTTATTGAACAACATCTCGACGATGTTGTATGATCAATAATATTCTAAAAATGAATTCCTCGCAATCCCCGGGCCATCCCAAGTGCAAATAAGAACCCCGATTGCTCAACAGTGGTCGGATGTATTGGGTCTGTTTCCAATGGTGAGTTGACCTGAAGTTACCTCAACCCCTGTTAACCGGTGCCGACAAGTGTGAAACCAGGATGGTTAAACAAACAAAAACATCCAAACTAACAAAAACAAATGTGTTCATAGATAAATCATGATAAATCATCATACTAACCATCTATAAATGGCTAGTTTGATGATTACCCCCCATCTTTTCCATGTTCAACCCATAGTCCTGGTGCTGGTGTCCATGTGACCTCGCGATGAGCCAAGATGGAGAGGATTTAATTGTCCATTTTTTGTCAAAATACCCTGATTGGTTAAGGACTTGCAGTACCAAATCAGGGAATACAAGGTTTATTGACTTAGTTAAAACTAATGGTTATTGACTAGTTTAATTAGTACCCTAGTTTTTTGTCAAAATACCCTGTTTATTAGTCAAACCAATCAGGGACCGCTGGATAACTGGGGTTGCATACCAAATTCATACCTCCTAGTCTATTCCTAGTATCAAAATATGATAACCTGGAGGGAATGTTCCCCAGAATTTTCATAGATCCAATAGCCCAAAGTTGCTGGAGGTTGGTGGAAAGGGGAAAGGAATTACTACATATTATTACTATAGGTACTGTTGATAATGGTTAGTATATGGTTATATGGCTATTATATGGTTAATGATGGTTAATAAGAATATGGTTGGCGGTTTCAACCCCTCTGAACAAATATGAGTTCGTCAGTTGGGATTATGACATTCCCAACATATGGGAAAAATGTTCCAATCTGTTCCAAACCACCAACCAAAAATAATCAATAATCAACCTCGCTTCATGCTGAACATCACCAATTGTCTAGGTCCCCCAAAGAATCCATTCAGAACCCAATTGACCCATGCCCAAATGCAAAAGAAAAAAAACGATGAGGCTTCCAAACCTTAGCTAATCTTACGTACCCTCCAACAATTTAACATATATATATAATTATATATATATATGATCTACACATAACAAATATAGTAGTTGATAGATGAAAATAACAACTAACAACTAACAACTAACATCATCATCATCAACAACAACAAATGGGCGATGTTTCATCTACCCATACGGCTACCAACCACGTTTCTCCGAATGCTTTGCAGGTTGCGTGCAGCCAAAGGGCTCGAAACAGGTCCCAGCAGGTTACCACCATGGCATCATGGTGAAAGGTTTATGGTTTGATCTTTGATTATCGTTTATGGTTTATTTGCATGTAAGGTTAGGTTTATGGTTGGATTATGGTTATGGTACTACAAAACATGTGAGGTTTATAGTTGGTTTTATTTGCATGCTTGACAAAAAAAAACAACACATACAGTTGAAACGTTGAAACTTCCAACCAGTCTTGCAGTTCTTTCGTTCATGCTGCGCTGAACAAGACCATCCAAAGCAATTTTTGGTTTATTCTTCAAACGCCTTTGAACATACTTTCTTAAATTGAAATCTGGCAAGATCAAAACCCCGCAGTGGGTTCACACAGAGGGTGTTTGTAACTATTGTGGATGGTTAAAAATGACATGTTTCTTCAACCCATGGCGTTTTTGGCGTTTTGGGTCCAACATTTCTGCAACATTTGCGTCACTTTGGCGGCAAATTTCACCCGGACTTTGTCCATCAAAATGCACCAGTTGGTCATCAAAGCTGGTCTGCAAACCAACACACGCACACAACGCTTGGGGGCAACACTTTGTAGAGTGCTCCACAAGGCATTTTCAAAACAAGGGATATGGATTGATCATAAAGCCATGTCTTGAAATTGCGAGTTGAGATTATAAAGGGGTTTTTCACCATGGTTCAAACAGCCATTTTTTTGAACCTAACTCTATGACTTGTTATGGGCTCAAGTCATATATTCAATGCGTTGTGTGGTTCCGACCCGCCAACCTTTTACATCAACCCATCATTGGGAATTGAAGACATATTTTTCAACACCAAGCACATAGATCACATAGCATATTTCCCAATATATGGAAACTGGTTGGTGGTGGTTTTAACCATCTTGAAAAAATATGGAGTTCGTCAATGGGAAGGATGACATCCCATTATGAAAAATAGAACATGTTTGAAACCACCAACCAGGAAAAATAACATGTTCCACACCACCAACCAGTCATCTATCCATACCATGATCGCCACAAGGGGATGATTTGTGGGGCATTCTGCGGAACAAAGTAGGCGAAGCAACTGGAATGCAAGGCCTGTTATGATGATCCGTTGTTATCACTGTTTAAATCTAGAATAAAATCAAAATAAAGCCAAAATAAGTTCTTGAAGTAGCTGCACATCTGAATGGAATTCTGATTCCCCTTTCAATAAATCAGCACCTGATGAAACTACAAGACACTTCACCTTCATTCGACATCCCTCCTTCAAGATAAGGCTGTCCCAAGGCCTTCACATCTGTTTTGCAAAGGTTTAGGAGCTTTGGCTTTGCATCTTTCAACGATAGAAATGAGTTTGTCTGAAAATGAGGGATGCCAATTTAGGTCCCTTAAAGTTGCAGTTGTTTTTTGGGGAAAACTGATGATCAAAAAAATGGGATTTAAGGGTACCATGGGATGAAGGGCTGGAGGCTAAGCAATGGCAAGGGTGGTGTCAAATATAGTCACAATTGACACTATCCCCTGGCCATGAATCAGAAATCAAATAGAGAAAGCATTGGAAAAAAAACATAGTTCCGGATTAGCATATGTGTTTAATTCCACAACCTAAAAGGACATGGCGGAACGGCTTTCCCCAATCCCAAACCATTCGAAACCTTTTCCGCGCCGCGTCAAACGGTCGAAGTTTCTGCACTCAGAAACTTCAACACCTCCGCCTCTTGTAGGACCTGCGAAGGATCCAACCCATTTTTGGTATCCTCATCGGCTGGTGAAGAATTGACCACCACCATAATTTAAGGGTAACCTAAGACCTGAAAACATATACCAAAGGGATTTGTGCCATTGTTAAGACAAGAACTTTCAGGGGTCGGCTCCAACTTAATGCACCCAATGGAGAGATGTCAGGTGATGGAGATAGACGCATTCGAAACCAATAAAGAATGTATATAAGTATAATATATATATATATAATGTAATATGATCAATGTAATCTATATGTAATAGAAAGTCTTCCAACTTCTAGTATTGCAATTGTTGTTCAATTGTTCACACTGGGGTTCTTTGCAAACTCAAGTGGTACAGAATTCAGAAAAACGACTGTGTTTTCTAGACATCCATTTCATCCATTCATGTATCATGTATATTTATAGCATCACATAATCAAACAGCTACCATTTGGTTATTTAACATAGCCATGAAAAATCCCTTATAAATGGAGGTTTTAATGGGAAAATCATCTATAAATTGGCCATTTTCCATGGCTATGTTAAATGATCATATGGATGTGTCTAGACCTGGCTTAGTATTGAAAGTCCCCCAGAAAAATGATGATTTTTCACGGGAATCTACAGTCAGTGCCAGAATTATAGAACGGAGCGAAGAGGACAAAAGTACGGTAAAATACCGTACCTTTGTCCTCTTCCGGGTTCGAACCTGGAGCGGAGTCGGAAAATTTAATTATAGAACGGGGAAGAGGACAAAGGTACGGTAAAATACCGTACCTTTGTCCTCCTGGCTCCGTTCTATAATTCCTGGCACTGACATAAAATGAGGATAAAATGAGGAAATGATGAGGAAATGATAATAAAACGCGGATAAAATGAGGATTTAATGGGGATTTGATGAGGAAATGAGGATAAAATGCATATTTAATGAGGATTTAATGAGGATAGAACGACGAAAAAGGTTAGGAGTAAATTCAGATACATTTTTTTTCATACCTTCCGAGGAAAACAGAATTATAGAACAACAGGGTACGGTAAATAACCGTACCTTCGTACTCCTCAACTTCCGTTCTATAATTCTGTTTTCCCCCATTTTTCCCACATTTACCAGGTGATTTTCTCAGATTTCATGGTGATTTTATAGGAATTCATAGTGGTTTTATGGGATTTCATGGTGGTTTTATGGGATTTCACGGTGATTTTCTTAGATTTCATGGTGATTCTGTAGGATTTCTGGGACCCCGGAAGAGGTTCTATAATTCTATAATTAATTTTTCCGTTCTATAATTAATTTTTCCGTTCGACGGAAAAAATAATTATAGAACGGGGCCCGGGAAACATTAATTATAGAACGAAAATGGGAAATGTGAGAAAAATGGGGGACAACAGAATTATAGAACAACAGCGCTCCGACAAGAATTATAGAACGACGAAAAAGGTTAGGAGTAAATTCAGATACATTTTTTCTCATACCTTCCGAGGAAAACAGAATTATAGAACAACAGGGTACGGTAAATAACCGTACCTTCGTACTCCTCAACTTCCGTTCTATAATTCTGTTTTCCCCCATTTTTCCCACATTTACCAGGTGATTTTCTCAGATTTCATGGTGATTTTATAGGAATTCATAGTGGTTTTATGGGATTTCATGGTGATTTTATGGGATTTCACGGTGATTTTCTTAGATTTCATGGTGATTTTGTAGGATTTCTGGGACCCCGGAAGAGGTTCTATAATTCCATAATTAATTTTCCGTTCTATAATTAATTTTTCCGTTCGACGGAAAAATTAATTATAGAACGGGGCCCGGGAAACATTAATTATAGAACGAAAATGGGAAATGTGAGAAAAATGGGGGAAAACAGAATTATAGAACAGCAGCGCTCCGACAAGAATTATAGAACGACGCAAAAAATTAAGAGGAAGATCAGATACATTTTTTTTTCACACCTTCCGAGGAAAACAGAATTATGGAACAACAGGGTACGGTAAATAACCGTACCTTCGTCCTCTTCAACTTCCGTTCTATAATTCCGGCACTGACCATACCCTCTGTTTTTCATCACAGAAATGGCGTGCTGGGGACATCCACTGGATCCGGAAGGGTTTTTTTTGCCTCTGGTAAACGTTAACAAAAAACTATGGAACATCTATATGCAGTTGATGATGGTGATGTTCTATAGTTGTTCCATGTGATATTCTATGGTAAATAGTTGATGACCCTATGGATTTATTATTGAACATGGCACATCATCTTTGATAGGTAAATCAACTATTTCTATGTGCCATTTTCAATAGCGAACTGTTAAATTACCAGAGGGGAATGGGATTTAGGACCCAACGTTACAACGGCATCGCTCTGCGGGGATTTCCTACCCAGGATACCTCTTCGACCTGCTGTCGAAGGCTGCTATTGGCTGCTGAAATACCTGGGCTGACCAGTTTGAAGATATGGGTTTTAAATGGTATCTAACCAACCCAAAACCAAAACAAGGGCTGTAACAACGGAAGTGGTGTATGTTTCCTATATGGATCTGATGTTTGTCCAAAAATCATGATGTTACCAGCCAAAATGAACCGAACATGTGATCTAACCTCCAGGAATGTGACCAATAAATAACGGAAACAACTTTGGGGAAACCGACTTTTGGGACAACCCGCTAAAGCCTACATGCCTCGAAGCAACGTCAAAAACTCAATCACACAATTTGCGAATCATGTGCATTCATCCTTTTCAGTTTTTTTTTGCATGGTAGAACCTCTTGCAGACCCACTTCAGCCATTGAAATATAGAGGTTTCCTGAAATGGGGGTACCCCTAAATCATCCTCTCAATAGGATTTTCCATTATAAACCAACCATTTTGGGGATCCATTTATGGAAACACCCATATCTTTCACCTCAACCATGGCCACCATGGCCTCCTTCCTGGAAATCGCCACCCGCTTCCTTGACCTAGAAATCACCATTGAAACCGGTGACGACTGGGGATCCCCCATGACTTAAGAAACCCGCACAGGTGTCCAATTGTCGTCATGTTTTTTCAAAGGTGAAAAACGGGGAAGTTGATTTCTACTCATGCGTTTTACGTGGGGCGATGTGACATATCAAATGTATATTTTATATTATACATTTACGTATGTTATTTACGTGTATATAAATATACTTGTTCATGTGGGGGCGGGGCATCAAAATAAGTGTGTATACGTATTATGATTTTATATGATTTTATACAGTTTATACACCTGTTCATACATATCTCCATGTTAATGATATGCGCCAACAGCAATGGCGTGTTGAAGGCACCTTTGTTTCCCATGACGCTCTTCATCCAATCCTTTGCCATGCGCCATGCGCTTCAATCCTCGACTTTTGAGAAGAAACGATTTGTCAATTTGGTATCAATAAATCATAATAAATCAGCAATAAATCATCAATAAATCATCCACGTGTCTTTTATCATGTACCACTTATCAGCATGATACCTTGCAGACATATGTCCTCTGTGGAAAAAAGCGGTGAGGGAAGTGTTCCACCAGACTGTGGACAAAAAACCATTTCCACTGGTCGATTTTCCACATGTGGCAAGGATCATTAAAAGCTTGGGAACCCAAAAAATCATGACGGATTTTGACCACAGGAATTTCGGTCCGCTGATAGACTTCCAGAATTGGAGGACTTAAGACTTACTTTAGATCCATTGAAATAAAGGTCAAACAATGTCAAACACATCCCTCGAAGTAGATGGTTTATTGCTGTTTACTGCTGAAACCACAAGAACTTGTGGCTCCAGTTCACAGGTAACTCCCATGACTTGACCGCACCCCAGAGGTCAGCTACGATTGGAGCCACATAAGCGCGCTAGGTCCTCCATCAAACGTGGCCACGGAAAAAATCTCCATTTGTAGGTAATGTTAAGTGATGTTACCATTAAAACCTCCATTAAAACCTCCATATTAAAACATGTTACCATCTGGTAATCATCCATTAAAACCTCCCGGATGTCATTTCTGGCCATGTTTTATTACCTACTACCACTGGGTATTGTGTTGTTGGCTAGATTCCCATTTCAAACCCATTTCAAATCCAATAAATTCACCATATATTTCAACCATTTTAAACAACATAGCAATTGTATATACACATATATAAAATGGTTGAAATATATGGTGAATTTATGTATATATATATAATGGATATTATGTATAATGGATATATTTTTGTATGATATCCTCTATGATTCACCATTGATCCATATGAATCCTGACATCCCGTAAAATCCTCTAAAATGCTGAGGTCCCGGACCAGCAAGGCTCCAGCCCGGGAGGATTTGACGCTGAAGAAGGACCCCAAACGACCAGCTGCCACCTGTGACCCCCAAAAAAAGCTGGGTTCCGTTGATGAAATATATACGCGTGAGTTAGATGGGGTTCCAAACCAACTTAAAAATCTATAACTAAAAACTTATAACTCAGAAGTGTAATATAAACTTGGGTTTATGGTAGATTATAGATATATCTAATAATATTACGCACAGAACCCGTGATTTGCCCGGACTGCAACATTGAGGATTCCCTGTCGTCGAACATGAGAAGAGAAATTGCAGGAAATACTGCGTATACGCAGTGTTTTCTGCTTTCGGATTCAGAGTTTTCAGGGTTTTAGCGTTTAGGGTTTAGGGTTCGTCGTCTGGTAAATACCAAAACACTGGCCGGTTTTTGAGCATGTCGAAGGATAATACTTGAACTCCATTCTAACCTTGCGGGCAAACCATAGGGTCTTGCCGTAATATTATTTAATGGGTTTTATAAAGCACTGCGCATAACTCCGGGGGCACCACCTTTTGAATCTGACCTCCATCACCATGATATATGTGTGCCATGGTCAGGTTAGGTGGGATTCCCACCATTCTGAATTGGATTCCTTAGTGGCCATAAAAAAAAACATAATGCTACTACTACTACTACTAATAATAATAATAATCACTATTAATGGTTGCACGGCCATCCCCTTTGATAAGAAAAGTAACCTTGCTTCGACAGTGGCACATATGAATTGATTAATGATTGGTTTCCAAACAATCTTTGTTAATCGTTGTATGTTCTATAACTGGCTCTGTATCTTCTACAGTATCATTTGTTTGTTAATAACCCAATGTTACACTCTGGTTATTTAACAGTTCGCCATGGAAAGATCCACCCATTTTTAAGTTCGGTAAACCATCTATTTCTATGGGCCATCAACAAACCATGGCTATGTTAGTCATAACCAGAGGGTATTATCCATTATATCCCCTATAAATCCCTATAAATCCCTATAAATCCCCATCTTAAATCCCTATAAATCCCTATAAATCCCTATAAATCCCTATAAATCCCTATAAATAACCCCATGTTAAGGATTGTTGAGGTTGTCACTTGCCCTCAGATTTTCTGGATCGGATCATAGCTCCAAGTCAATGGGGATCCGAAAATCTGTGCTGGATGGGAAAAAACAAATCAAACAAAGCACCAACCGACATCAACATTGATGATATACATTTATTTTTTCCACATATACGTATATATATATATATATATAATGTGTATATATATATAATATTGTATATTAATATGTATATATATATATATTATATCATATAATATTATATTATATTATATTTTTATTTTATTATATTTTATTATATCATATTATATTATATCAATATATATATATATTGTACTGTGTATATATATATATATATATCATGTCAAACATCATGAATAATTTCCCCATGTTTCTGTGGCAGATTGTCCAACTGAGGTCAGATCCCAGGCATGACCAAGGCTGGCATTCTGCAAGATCTCGGCGCCAAGTCCGTTGGAGTCCGTTGGATCTTGGTCCAAAGCTTCAAATTCTTAGTGGAAACATCATAGGATAATATCCAGAATATCTAAAATTATATAAATAATAGTATCTGAGAGGTCCATGGATATCATAGTTCAAATTCTTAGTATCTATAAATATATATATATATTTGTTTATTTATTTACATATATATATATATAATATCCATTGGAATATGAATCCATAGGATAATATCCATAATATCCATAATATCCATGTTAGTGGAACCATAATAATCCAATTGTCCTATCATAGGATATCTGATGATAAAAAAGGATATCTGATGAATTCTGATATCTGTTAAACCTCTTTAAGCTACAAGAAGATGAAAGTATATATGAAAGTACCGTTAATATGGCTACAATCCATCCGTGGTGATATATGCTGCTGAACTTCGACCAATTTCAAGGATCATAGCCACGAACAATGAACCACGTCTTTTACCTATCAACCAAAGCTTTTTTTTGGCTTTAAATCACCATGTCTTCTACGAATCGTAGTAGGAAAAAGTCTAAGATTAGCCTTTTCTATCTTTGCAGGATTTCCAAAAATAAGCATTATGTAACCATTATATAACCAATGATTTACCCAATGCCCCGAAAATTCAAAGCCCCCAAAAATGCCGCGAAAACTTAGCTTCCCCACGCGCACTCCGCGGGACCGTGGTGGACCCAAATAGTAAATCCCCCGCAACTGCGGCCAGGAGATCCTCGGCGCTTCGCCATCGGCGTTCTGCCTGTTTCAATCCCCAGCCTTTGTTCAGATGGGATATGTCAACACAACTATAACATATGGGAATATACATGAATATACCATTGCAATAATAACTAGAACCAACAATATCATGGTGATGAACCATTGAATATATCAACATTTTATAACCATTATATACCATTGAATTGCAATTTTAATGGTGATATAATGGTTATATAATGGTTATAAAATGGTGATGTATGGTGACATAGTATGGATCTCAATAATTGGACATATATCCGATATTGATAATCAAATATGGCGGTTTCTGGGAAATCCCTGAACTGGATATTCTATGATATTCTATTGGGAACATCACAGAACTATGTGTTTCTCCATGGATAAACTGGTGAACTGCTGAACTTTAAGTGGCACACTGGGGACCTGTTTCGAACAAACATCATCAGGATTGATATTAGTGATTTTTCTGATCATTTTTCCTCAGCTTATTTATGACTATCATGACTGTGGGATTATATATAGCACATAGTTGGACCGGATTGGACACAAACTTTCTGCAGGGTTTGCAAAGGTGGCCACTTGTGGGTGGTGCCTTCTGCATCTCTCAACCAAGTCTAAGCACTTTACTCCCAAAATTGTGGTTCTTTTTGGGGTCCCAAACCACAGAAACAAGAAACACATACAGTACAAACATCCATCTCCAAAAAAATTGAACCTGCAAAACTGCAAAACCACTGCTATCAACACAGCTGAGAGCCCTGCTCAGTATCTGCAGAAGACGCTGTGCCTCGTGACAGCTCTACAGAATCCGAATCAATCCAACCGAATGCAAGAATTCAAAACTGCAAAAGACCACAGGCCAGAGTATAGCAAGGCTGCGGCAAGCATTGCTCTGTTTCAACCATTGGACCATGTTCAGCTGGCTTTTTCGTTGGTTCAATGCTCATGGCTCGCCAAGAGTCACCAACCAAGTCGGCGACTTCTACGTAAAGCCTTGATGCTGAGAGAGGAACCTACCAGCACATCTTCCAGGGCGTCTCCTGAGCGTCTTGCTGCAACTGGTCGCAACAAGGCCTATCTTACCCTGAAATCACCTTGAATCGGTAATTGAAAATGGTGAAAATTGGTAACATACTCTTTACCATTTGACCGAATATAGATCCATTTCAATCCAGTAAATCATATGAGGGATGATCATCAGCCCATTCATCGGGAATTACATTGAACTATTATATAATATGAGGAATCACATGCATGATGGTGGGACGACCATACTCACATATGTCAGGGTTGCCCCAGCACCCCAAATGCGTTTGGGGGGAACGATGACCAAGCGTTCCACCAGTGGGGAGCAACTTTGTATGTGAAAAACAACTCCATTGTTCTTTGGTTCATTCCCTATTCTCATCCCACATGATATCCCCACAATATCTGAAGAACGTATATGGTAGCTCACTAATCTGAAGGGTTGGGGAAATGGGATTTCCCCAATCCTAACCATCATCGGTGAGGGAGGGAAATGGGGTCGCAATTTGCCCAAATAATGTGGGAGGGAAAATGGGGACCTCAATATGTTCTGATTTCATCCCGCTTGAAAACCATGGTTTTGTGTTTTTTTTTTTTTAAGAAGGGGTGGGATTATTAACCATAATCAACCATTCTTAACTACTTTTAAAGTAGCCCTAGTCATTATCAACCAAAACTGAGGTTATGAAGTTACTAAACCATGGTTTTTAACATTAATTTTTAGGAAGTCTTATTGAGCACTATTAACCAGTATATTTTGTTCACATTTGTGTTTCAACTATTGACATGCAAACAAACATAGTTTCATCCATGATTTAATAGTCATTTGCATGGTAAAATAGTAGTTATTCAATCATTAACAACCATTATGTTGAGGTATACTTAATGGTAAACCCCTATTGGGGACGGTTTCTTTTTTGGGTTTATATACCACATTAGACACTAGCCATTAAATCATTCATTAAATCATATTAAATCCTCATTAAATCCCCAATTTTCCCATGATTTTCCATGGGTTTCTCACCACATCACTGCCTTCCTCCATTGTTTCACCATCGTGCCATGACCCTCACCTGCCGCACAGGTCAGCCGCTCACAGTTCATTTCGGCGCCGCCACCGCGTAAGGCGGTGAAAAGCCTAGGACGGTCCCAAAGCATCAATGGATATCTCTAGATATACCAATGGATAGAATTATGCATAAATTGGAAGATCACATGATACATGAAGTTATATCAAAATCTAGATGTATCATGATAATTGGATATACCTCATAGTCTAGTAGTGTCATTATAATTCGTAGATATGATATTATATGATATTGGCTATTGGGGTACCACCATTTTAGGAAACCTCCATATCATGAGAATTGGACATAGCATGATATAACTCATAAATGTCTATGAATATGATATCATTGGAAACAATAATAATGAACATCTTGAATAATTGATAACCATAAGCCCTATAAGCCTATAGGATCCTATAGGTATTCATAGTAATTTGAGTCAGAAGAAACATATTGGCTTACTACAGTATGGGGCACCATCTTGTCCATCTAGTAATCTACCAACACCTTGATTGGGATCTGATTTCTGAAAACGATAAGATCATATTGTTATATTGGCTAACATCTTTCTTGTGGCTTCCTAACTGTTTGGAAGCTTCTTCTTGACCCGATCAATTCTTTGAAGATCAGAGTTGTAGGTTTTGTCAGTTGAATATTCTGGGAATGGGCCAAAGCTGCACGGAGGTTTCATCAGAATGAACAATTTTGTGCCCTCAACCTGTGACAGCCGACATGGGATTTGATCTATCAAATTGTTGCTTAGCCAGGAATAGGACAAAATAGATTGCGTAGTAATTTAAGGCTCACCAATAAGGAAAGTTGAGATTTTTGCCAGTAAATTATAGCATGAGAAATCGACATAAATCGGGGTATAGCCAGCAGTTTTTCATCCCCTGGCTGCCAGTTCTGTTACGTTCGTGAAGCCACAGTTTATGGCCCAAAATACCAGTTATACGTACTAAGAAAACCCCATTTATAGAATGTATAATCCCATGTATAACCAGTTATAACTAATTTTTCCATGGCCATACCTGCAGCACCTGTCGACTCGTCTTGGTATCCCAACTCATCCCGCCATGGATCAAGGATCACGGCCACTTCGGAACCTGCCATGGATGGCGATCACTGGGCGCCTGGATGACCAGATGCGGTCCTGGATACCAGTGGTAACTAGTTTCAACCAACTATATATAGATATAGTAAATACAAAAAAAAATACAAAAAAAATGGCATTCACATGCATTAAGCGTCAAGAAAAGCCTTAGTTCAAAACCCACAGCCACAGCAGCCCATGTTTTTTTGCAGCCCTTGGGGCCAAAAAAAGTGCCAGTGTTGGCGCCTTCAGATTCTGCGAAAAGGGAAACAGTTGCGTCCTGGCGACAGGGAGATCACATTGAGGATATGTCATATTTGGGACGGGGATACCATAAACCAAACATATCCAGCTTGGATGGAAATTTAGTCCTGGGGCTGTCCCAGCCAAGCTATCTAAAGCGTCCAGAAATTCTGAGACCTATCATTTGGGCTTGTTCCCTCTGGTGAACCTTTACACTTTGCCTTGGAAAATCACCACGATTAGTAATAGGTGAATCAACCATTTCGGCAATTTTTTGGGGTTGGTTGCTCCCTCGGACAGGTCGAAAATGGGGGCTGATATGTTTATTGGATCTCTTCATAAAAAGGGGTTTTCATAGGGGATATTCATGAGTGCATTGGCACATGTTTTTTTTCTGATCCCGCCAGGATGGTGAAACACATGTGAGAGCAAATAATGATTATTATGATTATGATTATTGTTTATTAAATGATTATAATACCATGTTTATAAACATCAAATAATCATATAATGTTTTTATGTTATTATTATGATTATTGTAATTGATTGAAACATGGGGCTTTATTATGATTATTACATCAAAGCCCCATGTTTCATAATTAAGCCATGCCAAATCCCCACAGCCCGAGGGAATTCTAATGATCTCAGCAATCCAGCCGTCGCCTCGTCGCGACATGCCTCTCCAATTTCCTGGCGATTTCAAAGGCAAAGGATCTGATGGATGGTTACTGGGATCGCTTGTTGTTGGGTTTACCACACCATAAATAGTTTTGGTATATATATATATTGGTATATATATATATATTGGTATAAATATATATTGTGTTGGTGCTGCTCATGATTTGCAATAGGAATGGTATAACGTCAGTCGGTCGTTGAGAGTTCGTTAAAGCTTTCGTTGAAGATTTCGTGGCAAACCTTGTGGCAATCCATTTTGCCACACCTTTTGCCACAAAAAATGATCGTGAGAATTCCGTTGAAATTTCGTCAAAGATTTCGTTGCTTCAATTCAAGTTCTGACGAAATCCTAACGAAATTCTGACGAAAGAATTTGTGGCAAAATCTTGTGGCAAAACGTTTTGCCACAAAGCACCCGACGAAAAGTCTGACGAAATTCTGACGAAATGAAAACAAAAGAAACAACAAAGAAAATCCTTATACCAGAACATATTGCAAGTGGTAGGAAATCATGGTGGAGTTCGATCACAATATATATATATATATTGGTATATATATATATATTATATTATACATAGATATTAGACATATCATTATGTTCAGTCTCAAATGTTCTATGTTCTTTAAAGCTGGCTCCAAAAAAAGCGGACCCAAGACTTGGCGGCACCCAAGACCAGGACTTGACCTTAGCCGCCAGTCGCAAGGAGGATGGCATTGGTGAAAAAAACACCGATTTAAACATAATATAATATGTACTATACACATATATGTATATAATATATATGTATAATATATATATATATACAATATTGTGTGTGTCTAAAATGTATCATACACAATTTATATATTTCTCGAACACTGGTTGGTTTCAAGATATCAGCGCATGTGAACTTTCAGGTTTCCATTATGGATATGTTCAACAATTTTCCCTGATACTGTTTGGAATCTACTACCAAACCTGAAATGTGGATATCACCAGCTTAACCGTGAACTAAATATGATCAAACCATCACCAATCTACACTGACAGAGGCCGAATGGAACCGGCCTGCCAGAACCGAACACATGCCACCAAACAAAACGTTTCTCCGTAGATATTGTATGTACATACGTATTAGTATGTTTATACGCTATAAATATACATATATGTATATTCACATCTGGGACGATATGATATTATATGATATTATATGTATGTATTTCATCAATGGTGGGTTAATAGTATGGTATACTAATTTCCATGGTAAACAAATGTAAATGCAGGTTTCCTGGAATAGGGGTACCCCCGAAACATCCACTTTGGTAGGATTTTCCACTGTAAACCATCCAGCTATTGGGGTATGCCCATTCCTGGAACCCCCCAAATAGCTAATAATAAAATAGATAATAATATCTCCATAGTAGTAAAATAGTTTTTCTTGGTAAATAACTAATGTCCATTAGTACAGTTATGGCCATTTATTAGTTATCACTGGTTATAAATGGGATTATACATTTTATAAATGGAGAAACCCCCAAATAGCTAATATTACTTGATCACCAATTCCACATATCCTGAGGGAGCAGCATCTGGGAGGTGATGGCGCAATTCTGCGGCGCAATGAAGGGGTTCAATCAACATGAGCGGTGTCATAATGGTATTTCATTGTGGTTTAAGGATATTTAAAGATGGTTGAATGGGATCTAGTGGAATTTTTATGGGAACAACATGGCATTTACTGGGATGTCCAAAAAATAAAAGGTTTAGATTGAAAAGTAATGTTTAAAATCCAGGAACAACTGAAACATGGATTAACAGATTAACACAGATATGACGGAAATAGAACCACCAATATCGAGGATATGTGTGGGTTTACATGGTTTACTTTACCTGTCATTCGATAAAAAACTGCTTGACCAGTCGAGAAACATAGTGATTTCATGGGGATTCAACCAGCCATACGGGGAGTTGCCGATGCAACAAACTAATGGTTTGACATCTTTGACCATATGGATCCATATGGTATATGGTGGTATATGTTATTTCTGACCAGAAATTCCTCTGGTAAACAGCCACATAACTATGGAAAATCCACCCATTCTATAGCTGGGTAAATCAACTATTTCTATGGCAATTTTCCAGTTCGCAAACTGTTAGTTTACCAGAGGGTAAACCTCCATTTTCCTACGGTTTTCCTATGGATCCATGTTTTTTTTGGGGGAATTTGTTCAACATTTGCTGGCCATACTTTTCCCCATGAAATTCAGGTGAAAACCTATCCAGATATATTCTGATGATAAGAAAACCGCCCAGAAATCACTCATATGTAAACATACCACCTTATTGTGACACCATAAATTTTATTACCATGTTTGATATTCCCAAGATATTATCAATAGATTGCAAGTATCGTTACCAATCAACCGTAAACCATAAATTGGAACTGAATACATACTGGTAATGTATATTATATATATATATATGTATTGGCAAACCATTGATATCAATTCCCAATAAACCATGTAAATACATTTGAAACCATGAATTCAAGCACTATACACCACCCCATCGACCTCGATCCACTTCGCTTTGCCAATCTTTGCCCTGGACATCAGGATTTTACCAACTGAAGATTCAAACGAAGCATTTCATGGCTTATACAGCTAAACTACGCAAATTTGATAGGAATATATATATATATGTATATATATATATATGTGTATATACATATATATATATATATGTATATATATATGTAAATATGTAAATATATATATATATACGGCAAATGCCTGGGTTCTGCCCGGACCCGCAACGACGACGGGCGACGCATCATCATCATCATCATCATCATCATCATCACCATCATCATCATCATCATCATCATCAATCAAACCCTTATTGGAGATCTTCAATGCATGTAGAAGTTTCACGGGGGTGGGAGAATTAAACCCTTATTGGAGATCTTCAATGAATGTAGAAGTTTAACGGGGGTGGGAGAATTAAACCCTTATTGAAGATCTTCAGTGAATGTAGAAGTTGAACGGGGGTGGGAGAATTAAACCCTTATTGAAGATCTTCAGTGAATGTAGAAATTTAACGGCGGTGGGAATTTTAATATTCCCTAATATCTTTGTTGATCTTCCCAATTGAATGTAAAGTTTAACGGGGGTTGGAGTTTAATATTCCCTAATACCGTTTTTGTTTTTCCCATAGGAATTTCGGGTGTTTTGACCTTTTTTTTAAATAGTCCCGAGTACCTTTGCTGTTTTTCCCATAGGAATTTAAGGTTTAATGGCGGTGGGAGTTTAACATTCCCTAATATCTTTGTTGATCTTCCTAATTGAATGTTAAATTTCACGATTTGAGAGTTTAAAATTTCCTAGTACCTTTTCTGTTTTTCTCATAGGAATTTCAAATATTATGCTGTTTTTGTTTTTCCCATAGGAATTTCGGGTGTTTTGACCTTGTTTGTTTAATAGTCCCTAATATCATTGTTATTTTTCCCATAGGAATTACTGTAATTTGCAATATCATTTGTTTGTGAATTGTAGATATATACGCTGCAACGCCTGGGCAGAACCCAGGCGTTGCGCGTATATATATATATATATTATGTATGTGTGTATATATATATATGTATACATATGCACATATATATATATATATGTATATATATATAATTATATATATGCGCAGTTTTCTTCAACCGTAAAACCCGCATTTTCAGACAAACCCATATCAAGTGTATTTTTGTTATAACCACCCGAAAAAACAGATCGTGTAATAAAGTCCTACCAAAACAGTGATGAATTATTTGCGGTTAGTACATACTTAGAAACCACATATTACTAATACACAATTGTATCCCAACCTCGCACACATGTTCTTCAAAAACCATAACCCACATCAACAAAGAATGTAGACGTGGGATGTTACCACCAAGCGCAGAAACGGACAAACAATGCGCAAATGATGTGATGCTTGCTTTGGAATTGAAACCACCTAAAACATAATAAAACCATATACCAACATATACCAACCACTCAGCATGTCAATTTTGGAAGCAAGACATCTCACTACATCTTCCGAACTTAGGTCAAAGGATGTCAAAGGTGTTTCTGACAGCCAAAAGATGTGCTCCGAAGCCGAGGGCCTCTACACAAAGCACCCTGAAGGGTCATTGTTCTGGAAACCTCACCCTCGCAATGTGAAATCACATGTTTTAATGGGAACGAGTAGGAAAATAATACACAAATACAATTAGATATACACAGTAAATGAGGTAGATAACTGCAGAGGTTTGAGGAAGGCCACTCAATTTTCGCAGGATTCCTCAAACGCACCCAACACCCAAGACATCACCAAACCACATCCGGCCCCCATTTTCCCACATCCGCATCTCAGCGCAGAACAACTGTGCCCGGCAGGTCAACTGTGGAATCCTCACGCCCTTCGGAACCCTTCGGGCTTCCATTGCGTTTCGACATGTTTCGACCACCTCTGCGTTTGAACAACTCGGCAGGTCAAATGGTCAAGCGAAAATGCTGCACCGCGCACAAGGCAGGTCTCGCACTCGTTGGATCTCATTGGATGAACAGATCCAGAGGATGTCCAGGGCGCCGGATTTTTCATCCACGATGCAGGCCCCAATCTATTCGACACCCTGCAGGATCTATTCGAATCCATTGACTCTAAATTGCTGCTTAGTATGATCATCTTAGATCGAGGATCAAACATGGATACGGATACTGGATATGTCACAGGAAAACTCTTTCTGATGATCTGGACATATCCATGGCAAAAGAGTCGACCGCGTTCTGAGGAGTGGAGTTCAGGCGTACAGTACAGCGAATTGACCCAAGGAACAGCAGCACCGCATGCACTGCACACTGCCCCTTTATCGAAAACTAACATGGAACCACCAACTTTTTAGTGCTTTTGGATGTGAATTCAGAAAATGACTTTCAACCATAGTCACATACGGTTCCAAGTTAGTTCTCAGAGATGCTTCTTTGATGCATCTGATGCATCTGATGCATCCAAAGGAAATTGGGACTATAAATTGTAACACACGAAAACCTGTGCTGGACACTTTTCAAGAAACCCAAGTTGTGTGGGTTTTATGGCAAATTTCTTCGAACAGACAGAAACAGATGGATTTGTTTCATCCCCGTCTCCAATCTCCTTCCATCTCCAGTCTGACTTATGGACCCTGGAGGTTTCCCAGTGATCCATGGTCTACAGATCAAAATTCTGACTTCTCACATTCCAAAAATGCCAGAAAAACAAGCCGATGCAAATCCAGGGAAATAATAAGTCATCAAGATATATCAAGATCATCAAATGGGGAACCAATTCAATATGAATAATATGAACCATTCACATTTGTGGGGACATTTGCTGCCTTTCCGAGAAGAGAATTCTGGCCCCAAGTTGTGATCACCTCAGGGGTTTGTTTGGTAAACCGCTAAAACCTGCGATCCCCCAAATCAGCTTATGGAATCTGTAAAACAACCCCGAATGGTAGGTTTGTGGTTTTGGCCTTACTACATTACCCTATGATTATTTGTTACATAGCCATGGTATAGATGGCCTATAGAAAGAGATGGTTTACCGAACTTAAAAATGGGTGGATTTTCCATGGCTATGTTAGTTTGCCAGAGGGTAATATCTCCTGTCTCCTATCTCCATGAAATATCCCTGTGATATTTGGGGCCTATATTAAATATCCCTGTGATATTTCCGTGGCTATGTTAAATAACCAGATGGTATACTACATTAGTATATTCCAAGTTTCAACGTTCGCTGATGGCGCAGAGAAAAGGGATATGGTGATATCCCTGAGAAAGCTTAATATATATATATATATACCATCACCATCATCATCATCATCATCATCATCACCATCACCATCACCATCGCCATCATCATCACCATCATCATCATCACCATCATCATCATCTTCTTCATCATCATACAATCAAATGATATTATTGTTATTAATAGTGTTATCATGATTGTTTATGTGTATAAAATATATAAATATTACGTATGAACTATATATCATAAATGGATGCATGTATGTATGCTTGAATGTATATATGTATGTATGAAATATGTATGTATGTGTAGATGGATGCATGCATGCATGTATGGATGCATGTGTGCATATGTGTATCCATGCATGCATGCATGTATGTATGTATCTATGCATGGATGCATGTATGTATGCATGTATTTATGCATGCATGCATGCATGCATGCATGTATTTATGTATGTATGTATTAATGCATGCATGTGTGTGTATGTATGCATGCATGAATGTATGCATGCATGCATGTACGCATGGATGTATGTATGTATGCATGTATATATGGATGTGTGTATATATGCATGCATGTATGATACATGCATGCATGCATGGATGCATGCATGTATGTATCTATGCATCGATGCATGTATGTGCATGCATGTGTGTATGTATGTATGCATGCATGTGTGTATGTATGTATGCATGGATGGATGCATGCATGTACGCATGGATGTATGTATGTATCTATGTATGCATGTCTGTATGTATGTATATATGCATGCATGTATGCATGCATGCATGGATGCATGGGTGCATGTATGTATGTATGTAACTATGCATGAATGCATGTATGTATGTATGCATGTATGCATGTATGCATGTATGCATGCATGTGTGTATGTATGTATGCATGCATGTGTGTATGTATGTATGCATGCATGTGTGTATGTATGCATGCATGCATGCGTGCATGGATGTATGGATGTATGTATGTATGTATGTAGGTAGGTATGTGTGTATGTATGTATGCATGGATGTATGCATGCATGCATGTATGCATGGGTGTGTGTATGTCTGCATGGATGTATGCATGCATGCATGTATGCATGGATGTGTGTATGTATGCATGGATGTTTGCATGCATGCATGTATGCACGGATGTGTGTATGTATGCATGGATGTATGCATGCATGCATGGATGTGTGTATGTATGCATGTATGTATGGATGTATGTATATATGCATGCATGCATGCATGTATGTATGTATTAATGTATGTATGTATGCAATGCATGTGTGTATGCAAACATGCATGCATTTGTGCGAATATGTGTGTAGTCTTCTCCGGTTGTTGATTGGGATGCACAAACATACTACATGGGTCTTTCAATTCATTTGGCCTAGCGGCCTTGGTATCAGCCAACTGCCAATTTCGCCTGGATTTGACCTTCGATGCAACTGGGCTCTCTAAAATCCAGAAATTTCCGGCTTGAGCTCAATCGCCAGGTATATCTTGCCAACCAACATTGGAATTATCAAGTGACTAAATTAGTTTTAATAAGAAATTGTCATTCAACAGTGGAATTCACCAACAAACATTAATGATATTCAACCATACTTTGTTTCAGGGAAATTCAGGAGATTTGACTTTGCCAAGCAACTTACAAGTCCATCCCTCGCCTCAAGGATCGAGACATCCCACGACAATTTGAGGTGAAACACTTAAGTTGCTAGCAGCTAGACGATCCTGACATGGCAAAGTATTAGCTAATATCCCTTGTATACATAT